GATTAGATACTTATAACCAAAGATGTGCAAAATAGGTTATAAAATGTATTTCAATGCAAATACTTTTTGTATTTTGTTATTTCAAATACAAAATAGTTTTTCATTTTATATTTAAAATACTAAATGCCAAATACGTATTTACAAAATGCTTTATTAAAATAAAATACTTTTAGTTTTAAATTATCTTTATTTTGTTGAAAAGTTTATTTATTTTAACCAGCTCTGGTAAATTTACTTTGATAACTTACTTAAATTAAATTTACTTAACAGATTTTAATAAAATAATTTCCTCAAATACACTGTGACGCATCAAACAGTTAAATCAGACACCGCACGGTAAGGGTGACCAAATAATCCCTAATTCATACGAAAAGAGTCGATAATAAACAAAGCTGATCAGACCAAGTTACATAGTTTACTGTAACAAGATTGTAATTGAAGATTGTATTTGTAACACATTAATTATTAATCCTTCGATGTTTATAAAACTTAGCAAAAAGTGTTTTTAATTTTGCAAATACAAAATATGTCCTAAAAGGTATTTCAAATAAAATATAAAATGCTTTCTAATAAAAAGTATTTAAATACAAAATGGAAATAGGTATTTTCCATTTTAAATACATTTATTTTAAAAATGTCACATCTCTGGTTATAAAGTTATAATAAGGAAAGATCTGAACACGATTCTTGAATATTTTAGTAGTGCTATCCTATGAGTTACATGTTCATGGATCTGACAAAAATCATGTCGAATACCCACGTAGTCCACTCCAGTTAAAATTAAAAACACTAAATTGGAAGTGTTTCGACCACTACATAATTATACCTGGAACAAAAGTCCAGTTAGGTAACTTCGAAAAAGAGATCTCTCGTCAAATCCAGCTCAGATGAGCAGCGTTCAGGAAATAACATAAAATCTCTACGTCCCATCTATCTCAGTGTGACAAGTCTTTGACCAGTGTGTGTTGCAAGTGAGGACCTATGGAAGCGAAACGCGGTCGTTTACTGCGGGTATGACAAGAAAATTCAACAAGTCACGCAGCGAGCAATGGAGAGAGCGATACTGGTATCACCGCTCGAAGGATTGCTCTGCTGAAGTGGCAGTGGATGGGACACTTAAGAGAGGAGAACGATGGCAGTTGGGACGGAATGATTCTTGAATGGCGACCACGCACCGGACTACGCTCAATGGGCAGGCCTCCCACTATTTTTGCCAGACCACTGATGTTTTTGATGTGTAACATCTTTCCTCTCGCTTTCCTGCAATTTGTGGGAGTGATTTCGTGAAATGGGACGGAAGTGTGTAACAGGAACGGTCTGCTAGCTTAATATACGTGCGAAAGAGCGCGTTATTTGATTTGTTTTTAGAACATAATGTTCAAATGCCTTATTCCTTTTGTAGTAGGTTTTATTTCTTTTTAAGGTGACGTTTCAAATGTTACATATCATACGCGACTACTATAGCGGATAGCGTAGGGTGCAAGTTCGAGTCCCGTCTTGCTGCCTAGTCCACGTGGATTTTTTTCTAGAATTATTTTCTATCTTAAGATTTAAATTTTTTTTTTACTTATTAAGTATAAGACACTTCGAATGCAGTTTTAAGTGGAATAAAAAACGCTTCAATAAAGCTTACTTGCTACGTCTCCTACCAATAAAACAAGCAATACAAGGTGAATCGAACGCGCGCAGCCATCTCAGGGGGTGAAATGTGAAGCATTACAGGCGGAGATGTAACAAATTTCGTCGCGCGCTGAGCGAAAAGGCTTTAGTACGATAGACCACATCCATACGCTGTGGTTGGTCATACAGAAGACCGAAGAATATAATATCTGCCACTAGGCGTTCGTGCATTATGAAAGAACGCCTTCGATTCGATTGAGACCAATCCCCGTAGCATGAGCACCACAATTTACATTATATCACGTTTTTATCGCGTCTTACTGTCAAATTGCATAGTAATTTGACAATTGAGTGTGATGAAAACGGGTTATATATCAAATCGCGGTGCTCATGCTAGTAGGGCTGGGTGCCTATCGGGGTTGCTATGGCTATTTAACTATCGTAATTTCATTTCTTTCACTTTCTAATAAAAAGTATTTAAATACAAAATGGAAATAGGTATTTTCCATTTTAAATACATTTATTTTAAAAATGTCACATCTCTGGTTATAAAGTTATAATAAGGAAAGATCTGAACACGATTCTTGAATATTTTAGTAGTGCTATCCTATGAGTTACATGTTCATGGATCTGACAAAAATCATGTCGAATACCCACGTAGTCCACTCCAGTTAAAATTAAAAACACTAAATTGGAAGTTTTTCGACCACTACATAATTATACCTGGAACAAGAAGTCCAGTTAGGTAAGTCCAACTTCGAAAAAGAGATCTCTCGTCAAATCCAGCTCAGATGAGCAGCGTTCAGGAAATAACATAAAATCTCTACGTCCCATCTATCTCAGTGTGACAAGTCTTTGACCAGTGTGTGTTGCAAGTGAGGACCTATGGAAGCGAAACGCGGTCGTTTACTGCGGGTATGACAAGAAAATTCAACAAGTCACGCAGCGAGCAATGGAGAGAGCGATACTGGTATCACCGCTCGAAGGATTGCTCTGCTGAAGTGGCAGTGGATGGGACACTTAAGAGAGGAGAACGATGGCAGTTGGGACGGAATGATTCTTGAATGGCGACCACGCACCGGACTACGCTCAATGGGCAGGCCTCCCACGAGGTGGTCGGTAAAGGTCTCGGGAAGCCGCTGGATGTGAGTGGCGCAGGACTCAGTGGGCGTCGTACGGCTGATATGATGATGACGATGAAGAAAAAAAAATAAATAAAACTGTTTTTTGTAATTTGGACAGTACTGTTTCATTAATTTTAATCTTTCCTCGTCCTTGGCATTTTGTACACATTGTAGAAGATCTATTTAACGTTTCTTGTATTTTTAAACTTATAACAAAAAGCTTGAAAAACCCGGTTTATTCGGTTTTGATTACTCTTAGACCCTAAAATCCGGGTTTTCAAAATTGAACTGAGTTTCGACGTCCTGTCCACGACACTCACGTTTGCTTTTTTATATATTTTATTTCCATAGGGCTACCCTCCCGCTGGTGGTTAGGTAAAATATACGTAATTTTTCTATGTACTTTCTTTCCTGACAAGGCGGGTTCAGCATCCCTCCCGGCGCTCATGTTAGATACAATAAGTAATGAGTCACGCTGATATAACTGTAAGGACAAGTGTCGAAAACTTTGGGCTTTAATGTAGTATATTATGTTTCGAATATTTAAAAAAATAGCCTTTTGGAGGGAATTTAGTTCATCCTCAGGTCCGTTTACTCTGAAACGGTTCTGGGGATGATAGTAGTAAATTACCAGTTCAAGTCGGATTGGTAAATGGACCATAATTCACCTCCTCATGCCATAATTTAGGACCTTAAGTAGCAATGATAAGGACGTTCGTTTCGGTTATCAATTCGCAATAGCTATCAATACCAACTTTTAAGTTTCATTAAAGGTAATTTGATAGGCACATCAAATCGCAGCTATTTGGCGTAAATCTTTAAAACATTAGAAACAAACTTTTAAGGTAAAAAATACGACAATTAACATTTAACTAAACATTTCTCGCGTAATCTTCAAAATAGCCTGTAAGTTATTGGTTCAAATAGTTTTTGTACATTGTGTTGTGAGGAAGATTGCGTTACCGTCTTGACCTTGCTTTAAACTGTCCAAATTGTTTATTTGGCCGAATTCATTGCGTTGATGCAAGCAAGCGCAACGTGATCTAAGGACAGCCTCTATAGATTATATTTTGGTTACCTTTAACAAAATTTTATACGCATAGATCTGCCAGTCAAATTACTGTTTTTTAAATAAAAAGACTAAGCAAATAATACTTACTTGCCATTATTAACGACCTAAAAGGTGTTTCATATTGCTAGACTAAAAGCCCCCTGGATTGTAAGCAATAGATAAAGAATAAAGGGCGGCCCAATAAAAGAAACGTGATGTTTATGTTTTTTGCTTAAATTTTCGTCTACGATCGATCGTGATATACGGAACCTATCGTGTGCGAGTCCGACTGGCAATCGGCGCGTTTTTTGTTATCAACGGGACTTAAAAAATTAAATATGTACATAACATGGAATATCAGGTCCTCACTGGCATGTTATCATATCATACACTATATTTTATAGATTGATGTAGAAGTTGCAACCAGAAAGAACTTATAGAGTTCGTCAAAACAAGGAAAGCTCAAGACGATATTTTTGCGTAGGTTTTGTAAGTAATGTAAACTTTTCCTGTTAACCTTTGAAATTAATTGTAAAACAATTTGCAACCTGCTAAAAGTGTCAGTTTTTGTAGAGAATAGTACAGACAATGCAATAATTCTCCACAAATACATACATTTTTAACAACTGCTGGCCATGCAGAAATTCTACTAGCTTTTCTAACGTTGAAAGACTGTGACGCAGAAGTAAAATCACAATTCTGAATTTTGAAACTAATATAGCTATTTTTTAACTTCTACCTTGAAATGGTTACTTCCTCCTCAAAATTAAAAAGAAAAAACTAAAAATAAAATTATTTACGAGATTGTTACCATGTACCTTGTTTTTAGCTAGTGTCTGAGTGTGTCTAGTAGTGTCGGAGTAACTGTTTAGAGTAAGAGTTACTCCGTGATCATGGCGCTTGCAACAGTGCCGAAATATCGGAAACTCGCTAAAAACAAGGTACATGGTAACAATCCCATAAATAACTTATATTACTATAATGATAGTGACCATGAAAGTTTAAAACAATATATTTAAAAATAAAGCTAAATTAAAATCTACTGTATTTAGGTAATTTGTTCCAAACTGAAAAAAATAAATCAAATCCTGTATATTACAAAAACATTATATCCAAGCTGTTGTAATGTAACTCTTTATGCTCAGGAAGACAAGAGTTTGGAAAATCTTCCCATTTATAATTGTGTTATCTTAAATTTTACTTACAGCTCCTCTCGTTGCCGTTGTGACAACACCATTTTCATTGTGGTTGGGTGGCGCTAGAGGCGGCTGTGCTAGGAAGTTCACTGAACGAGAGTCTTAACAATTCACACTGGCGACGGCAGGAGTGCCGCGGCCATTATCACACCTGTAGACAAACAAGACCATTTATTTCCATGTTGCTTAATCATGAATTCATTATATAAATAATATATTTTTTATCCACAAAAACATTATCCAATATATAAAATTCTCGTGTCACGGTGTCCATAATTGAACTACTTCGAAACGCCTCGACTGATTTTCGTGAAATTTTATATGCATATTAAGTAGGTCTGAGAATCGGACAACATCTATTTTTCATCCCCCTAAATGTTAAGGGTACCTCTAATTTTTGTTTTTGACAATAGTTTTTGTTTTTTTTTTTTATGATACGTCATACATACAATCATGCATACAACCCTTAATTATCACCCTTCTAACAACAAATCCCTATTTTTTATTGCGGTACGAAGTTCACTGGGACAGCTAGTATGCTATAAGATAGAAAAACGAAACACAACTTCGCTTGATTTACAATACAAAATCTGGTAAGTATTTAGTTTAGGGCTGGTATCCTACTGCTATTTCCACTTCCACCTGGTGTCAGGTGGAAATGGAAATAGCAGTCACTTCTAAACCGATTACCAAGCAATAGGTCACCTACCAATGAAAAAAAATCTTATTGAAAGTATACATTTACTTTTCATGTTTACAACTAAATCAATGTATTTATTTCAGGAAAAAAGGAATAATGTATATAAAGGTGAATTGTTAATTTTATTCCATATAATATACTTGGAGTGATTGAGAGAGGAGACCACACAAGTTATAAAGTATAACCCTGAATTCACTGAAACAGACATCCCATACACAAAATGTTGACATTACATCAAACAGACTTATTTTTCTTTTATTTTTTCTCCAAGTTATTCTTATGATTAATATCATTATGATCATCTTTGCATTACAAACTTAACTAAAGAATCCGTTTAGATATTTAAATACCAACAAATATAAGCTACACTAGCACTATGTATTTATACTACACAGCAATTAAAATACAGGCGAAGAATTATTGTATATTTCATATTAGTTAAGGGAAGGTGACTTAATGAATCATCCCATACTAAAGTCATTTTTCAACTTAATGGCTCTGTACTAATAATACAGGGAGAGAAAAAAACCGTTGCTGAGTTTCTTGCCAGTTCTTCTCAGTATAAGGTCTCCCGCCATAGATTTATGAACATGTGGCATAGCTTTTAGACATTCATGAGTGCTTTGAAGAGCCTAAACTAAATACTCAACTTTTGATTTTGTATAGAAAATATTCATTTCAATATCTTTGTTGCATATCCACAATGTACAAAAAGACGTTAAATATAAGTTTTGACAAAATACAATCATTGTGGACTTTGTCAGGCATGCAACTAAATGAGAGATAGAAGAGTGGAGTTACATACAAAGGACATTGTTCTACGTCCATAGATAGCTAGCCTAAGAACCAACAGTCATGAAAACAAAATATTTTTTGAGGTTATGTTTAATATTCAATGAAACATAGGTCAACCTATGAACTGAGTACCTATGAACTCAGTATGAAGTGAATTAATATTACAAATAATTTATTTTAATTGGTGCAATTTTAAAAAATAACTATTAGGAAAAACTTGGTTAGGTAAGAATCATGAATAAAATAAAAACTGTAGTTTTGCTTCTTATTTATTGTCTATTTTTCACATAATTTTATCATATTGTATATTGTATTTATTTGTATATCACATGTATTTGTACATTGTGTAAATATGCAGCGTCAATGTGTATCAGGTGTTCTTGAATAATTTGGCAGTATGATCCTCTCAGGATGTAGTGGCACAGATTCACTAGCACTTGGTAATAAGGTCTCTGCTCTTTCGTAACATCAATGTCATATTAGATAGCCGAAATAGTTAAATTAAAGGAAAAACAATCACAAATAAACACACACAACAGGTAATCCGAAACGAGAATGCATGAATGCCACAGATTACTACGAATGCAAACTGCCTGCATACAGATACAGATTATCGAGTTTTATGCCAGCCCTTCACTTGACAACAGTTTGTCCTTGCCATGCTTAATAAGAAATGAAAAGGACAGACTGATGCCATGCTTTCAAATAGCAAATACGAATAGACAAGTGAAGTGCTGGCATTAGGAAGAAAGAGTGTTTTGTTTGCAGCGCTGTCATAGATTGTTTTTTTAAATCCAACATTCACACCAATTATCCTAGCCCCAAAGTAAGCACTGTAAAGGCTTGTGTTATGGGATACTAGGGTAACGGATAGAATACATATATTGTACAATATAAGTATATTAATATTAAATACATATTAAACATCCTTGACTGGAGTACAAATGCTCGCATTCATCACACAAACATCTGCCCCCACCGGGATTCGAACCCGGGACCGGGACCTCTCGAGTCGGCGACGCCATGAAACCCGGCGTGTTAGTGTCTCAGATTAATTTTTCACTTTTTAATTTAGCTTACTTAACTGGAACTGTCCGTGATAATTGTCGCAAAAAATATACTAAGAATTATCATAAATGCCAAATTGGTGTTGGTTCTTAGGCCAATTTTAACATTGTCCTTTCTATGTTTATTTAAAGATTGAGAGAGTAAATATTCTATGATTTCAAAACAAAAATAATTAACAATATTCTGTTATTTCTCCTCCATACAAACTTTAGTCTAATTTGAAACAGGATACGAAAAAACCGTCACATGTTTATTCATTACAGCAAACCAAAAAAGAATATGAATATAATATTTACTCTTCATTGTTATGCAACAAATAGAGCAGACATAATGCCATTCAGCATAATCTACCAGTTAACCATCTGGCCAAGCAGAAAAAATAAGACCTATTCATTTACTAATTCAAGTTCATTGGCTTAATATTTTTTTATCAAGTTTGGACTTCACATTAAATTGTGCATTCCTAAAGTATTGTATGTGAAATATGTGTAAGAAAGAATAAAAAGAATGTAGGTAACACTAACTTCCTTAGCCAGAACAGAAAAATCAGTCAGTTGAGAAGGCTTACAATGAGGATGTAATATACATATATTTTATTCATTTACTATACTAAATAATTAAATTATACCCTACTTGTGTAGATGAGTTAAGGAAGAAAAATTTTGTGAAGCCCTATTGACACAGTTGCATTATTTGATAAGCCTGAACTTGATACCTTTAAACAGGTTTCATTTAATTTGAACACATGTAGCAGTTTCTTATCAAAATAACCTATGGCTTCTATTCAAGGGTAATTTTATTTTGGTGAACTTGTGCAAAAGAAGCCAGTGTATGCCATATTGCATTTATATGCAGGATGTAATAATCAAGATAAAAAAATTGAGTAAACCTAATCTTATTGGAATAGTTTGGTAAAATTTATATCACAATAATAACTTCAGAAGACACTTAATCACTGAAGTTTCTTATTTGTTACGACAGAATATTGATCTGAAATGGCTATCACGTGTTATGAAGTTTGAGTATTAGGTGGTTGAGAACCCTATCTATTGTTTTACTTAATCTTTTGAGCTAATAGGATTATATAAAAACAGAACACATTATGCATATAATTTTTCGCTTCTTATAGTATCACTAAATGAATCACAAAATTATTGGGTAAAATTAGCTAAAACAAGAAAATAATGAATAACTGATGCAGTAGCGAAAAAAAATGACTCAGAAATAAAATAAATGTCAAAATCACAGCAACACTATCAGCCTGCCACATCAACGGGCAATTTCCATTATAGCATTCATTGAATAAAATATACTAAGAATACACTGAGGTATTGCATTCGATGATAAAATAGATGTGCAATACAAAAATCATCAAAATATATAAAAGAACGGCCATATTGAACATCTGAAAAGTAAGAAGAATATACAAAAAAAACATGATAGTGAAATACGCTTCTTGTAAATTTAATAAGATTTGTTATTTACTTACAGATCACAAATAAACACTGAAAATGCACTGGTATTTGAAATAAATAACACACACAATCCAAACACAATTCACACAAGACTCGAGGCAGAAAACCGTTTTCGACTTTTCGTAGCAATGGCCCAATCAAACTCAATCAAAGAAAGTTTCGATTTTTTGCACCCTTTCCATATATTCCCAACGCCATCTACATTAAACAGCATTCAACAATGATTTTAGTGTTTGTAACACTGTTTCTAAAAGAGAGAGATAACAAGCCAACAATTTTGTGAGTAAGAGTGAGATACATATAGAACGATAATTACCATGTTTAAAAAACGAATCAATTTTATCCGTAAAAAAACAACACTATGTTAATTAACCGGGTTTAGATATTTTTTGATACTTTTTAGTGTCCAATAAATAATAAATACTTATATATTTCTTAATACTGGGGGCAGAGTGGTGTCGATTCTGACACGATTCTCTATATCTAAACTTAAATTTGAAAACAGTGGTGTCGATTCCGGCCTAATTCTCTAAACTTAAAGCTAAATTTAACATCAGTCTCTCCTTTTCACTCTGTATAGAGAATGACAAAGATACACTGTTGTCAAATTTAAGTTTAGGTTTAGAGAATCATGCCAGAATCGAAATCAGTGTATCCTTTTCATTCTCTATACCGAATGAGAAGGAGAGACTTATGTTAAATTTAGTTATAAGCTTAGAGAATCACGCCAGAATTGACATCAGTATCGCGATAATGCAAAGATTTATCTCTGCCGTATATCAGTCATACGAGAGTAAACAGGTTGTTACATAAGCTTTTATTTAGTGTGTAAATACATAGAGCCTAATTCGTGTGAAGATAAAAATGCTTCCTCAATAGTTAGGTAAAAAATGGTGTCCATTCTGGCAGGATTCTCTAAACTTTAAACCCTTAACTTAAATTTGACAACAGTGTATTATGGTCATTTTCTGTACAGAGTGAAAAAGAGAGACTTATATTAAATTTATTTTTAAGTTTAGATAATCCTGTCAGAATCGACACCAATGTCTATTTTCATGGTGTATGCTAGCGTGACGATCAGGTTAGCGTATGCCAGGGGGACAATCGCTTAGAGGAAGTGCTATGGCTATCGCTATCACTTACGATTTTATTTTGTTATTTCTGACCGCCTAAGGTTTTCGTTAAGGTTTAAGTTAGAACTGAATATAACTTCAGTCTCTCCTTTTTATTCTGTATAGAGAATAACAAGGATACTCTGGTGTCAATTCCGGCTTGATTCTCTTTAAGAACTAAATTTATCGTCAGTCTCTCCTTTTCAATCTGTATAGAGTACGACAAGGATGCACTGTTATCAAATTTTAGTTTAGGTTTAGAGAGTCATGCCAGAATCGAAACCACTATTGTTTAAGTTAAAGCTTAGAGAGATGTCGATTCTGGCATGGTTCTCTAAAGCTAAACTTAAATTTGACAACAGTGTATCCTTGTTCTTCTCTATACAGAATGAAAAGGTGAGACTGATCTTAAATTTAGTTTTAAGTTTAGAGAATCACGCCAGAATTGAGACCAATCATGTCAAAATCTACATCATAGTTATTACCAATGCAAAAGAAAAAAAAGAGCGCGAGGCATTTGAAAATCTTTGGAGGTCAGAAATAAAAAAAAAACAAGGTAGCGAAAGCAATTCTTTTAGGCGATTAGCCCTACTGCAAAACGGCTTATTCTTGAGCAACCAATTTTTAACAGAAAATGGTGATCTAATAATGAAAATTTTCATAGCGTTATGCAAAATTTCATGGTAATAGCTCATAAAGCAACAAGGATATAGAACAAGACTTTACATAACCTTTGGAGCTGGCGTTCGGGTAGCGTAGACCAAAGTCACCAAAATAGTTATCTAACTTTTCTTTTAGCATATGGTACATGTATTTTTTGTTCATGAATTTCGGCCTCTGTAAGAATGTTTAAAATGTGTATGAATTTGTAATAAAAAAAACTATAATAAATTCTGTTCATAGTAGAGGTACAGGCATGCTGAGAATTGCTTTGGCATTTTTTTTACATATTTTTTTATATTATTATCTAGTAGGAGTCTAATAACTTCATTAATTTTAGATAAAATATAAATACAAATAATTTTTTTTCATGAAATCATATAACAGTAGTATTGATAATATTTTTCTAAGCATCATTTATTAACATTATCAATCAAGACAATTATCCATTTTATGAAACGATACGAAAACGATCAATGAGTCATTCGTTGGAGCTTCCTCATCTCCATCTCCCATGCATATAAAATTTTTCTTCGGGAGTGTATTTCATTCAATACATTTCTAGAAATTGACACCATTTTTTATCATTCCGCTACGAATTCATACAATGGTGTCGATTCTAGCATGATTATCTAAACCTAAACTTAAATTTGACAGCAGTATATCCTTGTCATTCTCTATACAGAATGAAAGGGAGAGACTGATGTTAAATTTAGTTTTAAGCTTAGAGAATCACGCCAGAATCGACACCATTGGTGCCAATTCTGGAGTGGTTCTTTAAACTTAAATCTAAATTTAAAATCAGTCTCTCCTTTTCATTCTGTACAGAGAATGACAGGGATGCACTATTGTCTTTAAGTTTAGCTTTAGAGAATCATGCGAGAATGGACATCAATGATTATATTTGTTTTTTTGATAACAAATTGACTTTCATGCCACTGTCTTATTATGCATGATGTAATATGTTAAAACGGCTATTATAGCGTGCCACGACTATAGTAAACTATTTTTTGATGTGTAACATCTTTCCTCTCACTTTCCTGCAATTTGTGGGAGTGATTTCGTGAAATGGGACGGATGTGTGTAACAGGAAGTCGCGAAAGTGCGCGCTATTTGATTCGATTTTAGAACATAATGTTCAAATGGTGTATCCCTTTTGTAGTAGGTTATTTTTTTTTACTAATATAAGGTGAGGTTTCAAATGTTACACATGATACGCGACTACTGTAAGGCTCGCTTAATTTTTTTATAGATAGGTTCGACCAATGACTCCACCTCATGTTAAGTGACGATGAAGTCTAGACATTAGTAAACTTGACAACAGTCTGACTATATCTTGCTTTATAAGGAGCGAAAAGGACAAACTGATTACAAATTTCAAAATTGCAAACACAAAGAGCCAAGTGAAGTGCCGGCATTATAAATTAAAGTCAGTGAATACATTAATTGTAATCTACAGTCTACCTACAGTCAAAAAAAAATCGAATAATATAACCATTAATTTATTTTTCTATGCAAAGAAATCATGATGTACAATTGTTAAATTCCTGAAATTAAATTCAAAGACCGGTTTTTTTAGTTATTGTATTGACGTTATGTTGACATCGAAAAGAACTTGCTGAACAGATGAAGAACGAATCCACGAACGGACGAAGTAGGTAGTACAATTTCAACAAAACAAATGTCCGATTCTTGTGCCCATTTCGTAAGTTCCTCCAACGATAATTCGACTTACGCCCTCAAAATATTATAATGTATTATGTCTGGGCTCGTTTAGACATTATTGGTCACTTATTACTTTATGATTTATCCTATCAAATTTGTTTTCCAGCAGTTTCAAGAATTCTCCATACGTAGACGAAAGGAATCAAGTTTCATAAATAATGGTGTTTGCGTTCACATTATGTTCAATACAATATTTCGAATAAACCGTAAACTGTAGTGCCTGATGTTGTTCAAATTCCGAGTGAGGTTAGTGAAATAGTGGTCACCTTTCACCTTAGCAAAATCTTAGATTGATTTGATCATAATTGTGCTATTCGTTACTATTTATATGGGGCATGGATGTTGACTCTAAGGAACGGTTTTTGCGATGGTGATAGCAAAGAGCAAGAAAGTTAAACCAACAATGAATAATACTATAAAGAACATGGACTATAATTGGACTCCTGCACCAGACCCACCTAATGACCAAGATGCAGGAGCAGCAAGAGCAGTTTTCATGCCTCATTCGAATTCGTTGCCATTTGAAGAGCGTCGTGTAACTTTGGAACAACCTGTTAAGGTAAGTTAATTCCTTGTATTTTATTTAAAGGCTTAACCTAACGTTTCCTTGAAAGTATTTGTAAACAAGCCTGTAATAATTGTTTACCACTATGTATGGTTAATGTATATATAACATAAAATAACTATGAAATTAATTTATGCATATAATAGAAAATTTGAAAGCCTTATCTTACAAATTTGAATGTAAGAATTTTTAAAGAAAGCTTTTTTTGTAATTCAGAATCAAAATCTCTTTGAATTTTTCTGTATTTTGGCAGTACCTTTATTTTTTGTTTTCATAGCTAATATTTATGTTTGATAAAGATTGCCTACTTTTATTTCCACTAAATCCAGGGCATTGAAATAACTCTTGTAAGGTTATCTGTATTTTAATCTGGTTCTTGCCTGCTCAAGTGTAGATTAGGATTTATCTGTTTTAGATGGAATAATATTAATCTGTGAAGATACTCGTTCTATATCATTTTTATCAGAGCAATGGTAGTCAAAAAAATTTTCACCGTTTTTCATTTATTAGTAGACACCATCCATAATCATATTAATCCTGCATTAAAAAAAAACTTTGTAGTATTGATAAATAAGAATGTTATTTGTAAGCATTTTAGTCACAACACAAAGTGAGTTGTTGAGGAAAATCATAGAGGTCATTGCTGCTTAAATTTGTTTAGTATGATCCAAATGTAGAAGAGGTCAGGTTAACATTTTCTAATACTTCGTTTGAGGGCTACTGTATCCACCATTTCATTTTAACTAATTTAAAATTCCGAAATCAAATTATTTAAGAATTTTAAAGTTTAAACTGACAAACCGATCACTTAAATAAAGAAAAGAGATATATTTTAGGTGATACATTCAAATGTCTTTTTTTTTGACTCCCAGAGCTTTATAGGGCAGGGGAACATACAAGTGATAATCCAGTTCCTATTTCATTTAATATAGGATGGCTGCCCACAGTCAGGCACGGTTATACCCAAAAAAAAATTACTTACCATACATTGAAATTTTATCAAATTTCCAGGTGTCTATTTAAAAAAATAGAATGTTCTTTCATTATCTAATGAACTAGAATATACTTTATTTATCTAGTGATAAAAAATTGGATAAGACAAAAAACTATCATTCTGATCAAGTTGTGATTAGTATCACACCAATTTATATTAACCAGTCCTGTTATGCTTCAGATGTATGAGTATCAACTTGTAAGTGTGTAGTTGTTGTAAAAGGTTGTTAACCTCATAATAAATAGTGAATAATGAACTGTGTTAAGAATAACTTAGATATTGCAATATGTAATGCACTACGACAACCCAGATATTCTATTTTTACATATCTGATAAATATGTTATAAAAAAATCCTAGATTACCTAATTAATTTTAGTTGGTAAGTAGGTACCTATACTTTCTTTTATATAAAGTTATGTATATATTTGTAATTGAATCTTCCCCAATGGGTGTTCTTTATTTGATTACCACTGTGGCTGAGTGGTTTGTACACCGGGTTTCATGGTGCCGCTGAATCGAGAGGTCCCAAGTTCAAATCAAACGGATTTGAACTCGGGACCTCTCGATTCAGATGATGTTGTGATTAATACGAGCATTTGTACTCAAGTCATGGATGTTTAATATGTATTTCTATAAAAATTACTTATATATGAACAGTATAGTATTCTATCCGTTACCCTAACATCCCATAACACAAGCCTATATAGTGCTTACATTGGGGCTAGGCTAATTGGTGTGTGTTGAAAATATTTATTATTATTATTTATATGTAGTAATTATGCTTTATCAATTAATTATAATGAAGAGGTTACATTTTACAGATACATTTTGTTACAAGTTAATTTATTAACTTCATACACCCACTATCAGGGAATTAAAGTTGTGTGGTGTGAGTGTTACTTTTATACATACTCATGTGTGAAGTTCCTTTTCATATTTTTATTTTGTGCAATGGATTAAGAATAATGCTATCCACTGTTTATTTAATAACATCAAAGGGTTTATAAATTAATTTATAAATAAGTGGTGTTCTGATGTGAGTCAACCTTAGATTAAAACAAAAATGGAAGATGCGGCACTTGTGGCTCAAAAGTGATCCCCTGATGAAGTGAAAATTGTGGTGCATGACCACAACTTGCTTTAGTCACAATTGGACAATCTAATCTAAACGAAATGTCAATGTCAAAATTTGTATGGAAACTTGAACAGCAGCGCCACAAAGTATGTAACTAGAACTTAAAAATCAGTACATATTTGACAATGACATTTCGTACTCGCATTTGATACAAATTCGATATTGGTTCGTGCTAAGGGTACAGTTCTGTCCGCTCATGTAGTTGAGTCAGAGCACATTTTATTTGATGCTAGTATGAGCGTACTTTATCTTCCCTTTTTGTTTGAATCTAAGGAGTCAACAGTACTGTAAGATGACTGCTAAGATTAACTGTGAGATAACTTCAAATGAATTGGCAGATACTATATTTTATGTGAAAAGGGTGGCGCAAGTATATAAGCTGCCTTATGGTAAGCTTTTGCCATAGCCTATAGCTGCATGTGGTACCTGCATGCCTGCCCAAACCCTATCTCCTAATCCACGGAGCCCTGGAACTTAACTAACTGACAGCAACATAACACAACCCAAATGGAGTGTTATTTTACTGTGAAAAAAGTGTTTTCTGAAAGGTAAAGGTTATTTTCTCAAAAGGACTTTCCAATTTGAGTAGAAGGTTTACAATGCACAACCTCTCATAATACTACTGCTCCTTTTGAGACAATGCATGCTAACTATAGCATTCATTAAGTAGCTGACTTAGTTAACTAGCACTGTAGATAGTAGTTTAGATTTTTTTGAGATCTTTTAGCTCAGTCAAGCTATTATTGCCAAAAGTACATCCAGGCAGGCTACTACTGTCGCAAAAGTTGGTAAATAGTTTTCGCTCTTTCTCGATAGTTCATAGAAGGAAGTGCTAGTATGTAGGTTGTTACATAAATCACATTTGCAATTTCGGTAACTGCACTGTGAGTTCGGAAGCGCCTGCCTCGGGAATAGTGTCCATTGTCTTGTTAAAAAAATGTGCAATTCCATTCTTATAGTTACTTGAGAACAAGATAATTTGTCTTGTTTTCAGTTATATGGTCTATTATGCTTAGCCACAATAAGTATAAAAGTTCAGTATGTTTCACGGAGTGCTAATAACCCTTCTGATATAACGACGCATCCTATGTATTTATCTGTAAGTCACTTAGTATGCAATCCTGGTTTGTGTAGGGTGCGCGCGCGCAGTAGTCGGGTGAGTCAGCTTGACCTGTGGTGCTCTAGACGGGCAATTGTGCATTGGCAATTAAATTAAATGAGATTAAATTATGCTATTTCTAGCACCCATCTCTGCTCTATACTAAGAACGGAAACCAACTATCAGTTTTATGTTATTTGAACAGGAAATATACGATTATAAATATTATCTATTATGGTAGTAGAAGTTTGTATCTACATATGTTCTTATGGATCAATATCGATCGAATCTATAACATATTCTATTGGAATGTTTCTCTGTCTGGTTATAGTAATTTAAAGCAGGAAAGATAATTTGGATGAATATTAATTGTGGAATCGTTTGTTCTAAATAGATTTATCGTGCATGTTTGTTTTAAGTATCTTCTATGTGGAACTTACTCAGTAATTAGCCCTCCCATAGCCAATAATTTACCCATTTCCAAGAACAGTTGTATGACGCTAGGCTTCAGTAATTGGAGTCTGTATTCTCTTAATCATTTATTTGCTGCGTTTATTATTTTTATAGAAATAACGAAAGGGCCGAGTTTTTTTTTTCACTAAAATTTAATATATAATATTTTTTAACAAATTTATTAAATAGGATTTAAGTCTATTTCATGACTCAAAATATTTCTGTAATATAGGAGCTTTTGTTCTATGATCTAATGATCTGCTTGAAAGTATGTATCTACATAAACTTTGATACCTAGCTCAATCACTTGCCTTGAGTAGCTATTATGGACCAATTATTATTTACTGGAATCATATCAGTACGTATTATTACGTCGCCGATGACCGAGAGTCGTCATCGGTACAGTATCGTACTACTTATTTGCAAATATATGTCTGTGTCTATACAAAATTATCACATTAGCTTACTTAGAATATAAGTTTGTCAAGCGATTTTGAATTACAACGCTTTGTAAGTAAGGAATATTATCATAGAGTGACTATGGGACAGTGCGTGCCTTAGTTAGAGCAATTATGATTGTATTGTTAACGTGATTTGAGTCAATATACAAAACAAAAGTATATGCAAGAACTCATCATACGTATTTCTGGGAACTCTATGAAAAGGCGTCTTCCGTTAGTCTGTGTAACCGCCACACACAACTGTTCATTACGTTTCCCATTTCTTACTTCTTATACAATAGCCTCGGTCTGATGTAATACCCATGGCGTCGGTATGTCTGCAATTTGAAATTGCTTTTAGGTAATATACACTAGCTGGTGCGCCTGAGACGTCCTCTACTTGCAATGATTGGTTTCTCATACAATATGTCATCCCTTATTTCACATGTTTCCAGTCTTTCAGGGTTGGATGTTCGTAATGACTCTCTAAAACAACTTATAAACAGGACTCAGAAGGGAGATTGTGGTCGATAGTTTCTAAAAAATGTTTTGTCATCCTCTTTGAAGAGCATAACAGAACAACTTCACCTCTGCTCCATGCTTTTGGCGTTTTGCCTTTGAGGATGATGGAATTTAAAAGCTTCTGGAGGACTGAGTATCGACTTAATGCGCGTTTAGAGAAGGTGTACAATCATCGCCCGCCCGCCCTGTTGTGTTTAAGTTGTATTGTATGAGAACCATACTAACCTGATACAGGCCGACGTCGGGAATATCTTCTTTCTAGCTAGTGTCGTGGTAAGCTTCGACCTAAGGTCCTTGCTTTCAACAGGTGGTTGCTAAATGATTTTTTTTTCAAATATGCCCAAATGCCCATAGTAAGTTTTATGGCAGAAAAAGTCTTATGGCACGCGACGAATCAAATCAAATGTGCTATTTTCTATGATCAGAATCACATTAGTAACATCCGACGCGAAAATACGCGTAGACTTTATTAGTCGAGATCTTTAAAGCTTATGTTGATATTAAATGTGCAGTCACAGAAACATCATTGAATATTTGCTTGTTCGTCTGTATTATAAATTCGATCTCATATGATATAGATAGGTTTAGTAATATATAACATGTATTTCCGTAGCCCGAGGATACTTACTGTACATTAATTGTTCATATATGAGTAAAACATAAATGAGTAAAAAAAAGTTTTTCGCATTTTTTCATTATTAAAAAAAGTATGCCAAAAAGCATCACCTGATTAATGGACGGCCCCTAACCTTGAAACAATAATTATATTCTTATTAATTATGTTTTTTTATAATACGTAGCAGTGCCATAGACGGTTGCTATCCGGTTTTGTTACCAGATCTAGAAAGTCCATGTAAGTGTAGGATTTGTTATTGAATTAAAAAAAAACATCTAGATCTGATACTAGTGGCATATGGTCACAGCATCGTTGATCTGTGGCCATAAATGTGAATCTAGTTAGAGTGTAACAAGAAGTAATCAAAGATGTTTAAATTAAATGTATTCTTTTAAAATTAAAGGTTTTCTTGATCATATTTGGTACGATATTTAAGCAGAGCGCTGGTGTATATAGAATTCCTTTTAGTAATTTAATTTTAATGAGACTGGGTTCAGGCCAAGGTGAGGATTGCTGGAGTGCGCACCTTCTGTGGCTTCATTTATCTTCGCGGCTGGACACCACTTAGTCCACTTAATATCAGGTGAAGTGTGGTAATTTGTTACGCCTCGTTTAAAAAAAAATAGCTAACTCGACAGACGCTGTTTGTCCTGCCTGAAAAAAAATAAAGCAATATCAACAATACTGTTGATCGAAGGCACACGGTTATTATGAAATTTTATGCCGTACTACCTAAGGACCGAAGAAATATTTAAATATATTTCTTCTTACTTCTCAATTAAGAAAAATTAGATAGGAACGAAGTGCCATTTCTCTGCACCTACGCTGTTCAGACGTCAAATGATTGCAGGTCCCTGGCCTCGCTTGTTCACTCATAAATACCCTTCATTCCATTGTCAATTACACACAATAAGTTGGACCTTGTTCGTCTCGTTCTGTGCTCGGATAGCTTTTTGACGGAAGCCCTTGAGAAATGCTGTGTTCGAAAATCTTTTACAGTCTTGAATTTCAATAATTTGACTTGTAAAGTAGTTTTATCATTCGTTTATGTGTTTTTGTATGGTAGTGTAGTGTCATCAGCTCAACTTCTAGAGTGAATAAGTTTGTTCGGAAACAATTGCATGCGCTGGGCTGGTAATCGCTTTTATTGTAGTAAGCTCGATGTAGCGGTCGTTCAGTATTAATTACGGACGACTTAGGCTCTGTTTTGAGTGGTGGTTCTATCAACCCATACTACGTGCGTCGTTGATGTATATCAGATTATGATGTGAAAATTATCTGAGAATTTTGTCTTTCTCATGTTTGCTAATTTGCTTTTTGTGCAAAGGAAACTTGTTTGCACTGCAACATTCAGATGGTGTTGTTGGGTGTTAAATTATCAAATTTATCATTAAGGTTATCAATAGCGTTAAATCCTATGAATTATTCATAGATTTTATTAGAGATATAATTGAGCAAAAGAATCGCTAGTGCCACGTCAGTAATTTAAGTCATTTTAGCTCGGTAACGCACTTGCGTTTTTCTAAAGTGCTATTATAGGTGACTGACTACACGATACACATACACGCATCAAAATTGGCAACTTTTTATAACTATTGTTCTTTTACACTAGTATACACAAACTAGTCACAAAGTTAAACTTAGAAATTCATTATATTTAGCGAAATAATGAGAAGTTCCCTAAAATTGAGAAAACGTGGTCATTATTTTATAATTCGAAGAGCTAATTATTAAACAGCATGTACCAGAAAACTTTTATATATGCATACTTAAATTGTTTGGTATAGTAGTTATATGATGTTAAGTAGGAATGAGAGTAGTTTTAGAAAATTTTGTACACAAGAAAGGATATAAAGAACTTAAACTTGTCATTCTTCGATTCTAGAAAACATCTTATACTGATGCCAATTTGCGGCTATCAATGTAAAATCATTCGTACAGTATGATTTCCCTAAACGTGACACTCTGAATAAATTAACTTTCTGACTATAACCAGTTGATGGCCAGACCCAATATGGCCAGGCAAAGTTTGACCCCTGCAGCCCCCTCATGATTGTTCTGTATAGTCGGCTCCGATGGACCTCTGAGAAGAAGCAAATGAAAAAAAATACACAGAGAAAATAAAATTACGTACTTTGACAGATCCGTGATTGTATCGCATCGTTAAAGTTTCTATGGAAACTAAGCAGCGCCCTTAACGGACGTAAGGAAAAACTGGCTGCTTCATACAAAATTTGACGATGACGATACAATCACGGATCTGCCAAAGTACCTACGTGATTTTATGTTATCTAAGTATTTATTTTTTTATTTGCTATCATGTACAAAAGTTAAATGATGTCAAAAATATTCTATTATTATTAAATACTAGTTGTGCCCCGCGGTGTTACTCGCGGTTTATTAGGGATATTTTTCGGCAGTAAAACGTAGCCTATGTGTTAATCCAGGATATCAGCTAACTCCATACCAAATTTTATGAAAATCGCTTCAGCCGTTTAGACGTGAAGAAGTAACAAACATACACACTCACAAACTTTCGCCTTTATAATATGAGTGCGATTTATTATTAAATATTTATAGTACATGACCCTGTAAGGGTATTGCAAAATTAAGTCGATAAAATTATATAATAATAAAAATGTATTCATAAACAAGTATAATATTTAATTGCATGCATATTTCATTATTTTTAACATTTCTATAAGAATCTCGGTCATAACATTATGTCAATATATTAAATTATATTAATAATAAAAACTAGATTAAAAACAGATAGTGAGTATTTGCTATTTTATTGCGTTAAAAATCCATCTAGTGAATAATATATTTTATGTAAAAATATGATTTTATTACATTTTTAAATTTATCAAGGCTTTCCTCTTTCATTATGTATTCTGGTATCTTATTTTATACCAAAATTTATTTATTATAATGCATTTTTTTTAAAGTGTTGTAATCAATAGTCATCAAACAAATTTTACATAAATTTGTGCATTCATATATTAAATTATTATCTACTTGTAATTTAAATGGTGCTTTATCTACGTGCTTGGCGCTTTGCTCTGTATAAAATTAACTATCCTAAATCTGTGTGTTTCATGGTTTTGTCTAGTATAACCTCGTAATAGATATAAAGTGTAAAGGAATCTTTTGTAATAAACTTTAATTGCATTTCAGATTGGGCGCAACGTGTATCGGATGTTGGCTAGCCCCACGAATACGATATTTGAATGTCGGGTATTATCGAGACACCACGCTACACTATATTATGACAAGGGCCACTTCTACCTTGTGGTGAGTACTCTTAACCGAAAGACCAGTAGACCTATTCGCTAACTGCTTTTTACAGATGGAAATGTTAATCACCGATCTATTTAGTGATCCATTATTGCTTTATTATAACGTTACTAAGATACTTGTTCTAAAAAGCATCGATGGATATGCAATTTTAGCTTTAATTACACAATGTATATGACAAAAAAGTTAGCGAATATGCTGGCAGAGATGCATTCCAAACTCTAGGTGCAACAAATGTAAATTTAGACATGTTTCAACATTTTACGTCAAAATTTAAACGTCAGGGTAAAAAGTTGCACTCTAGAGTGTAGATTTTGAACGTATCGTGTATTTCACAGGAGGGTAGGTTACTTGGTCTCCATATATTTTTATGTAGGTGTAAAAAGTTTGCTGGGACTGTGACCAACTTGTACCTCCGTAGCAAGCAATATCACCTAAACATGATTTTATACAGCAGTCTATCGACACTCAGCAATTTAAATTGATGTCAATCAACATATTATATCGTGTTAAGGTCGTCAAGCTGAAGGGGATGCTGGATAAAGTAAGGCTGTATTTTTCATTTGCCAACATTAAAACAACATCAACTATCAATCTAATAGACTAGTGCATTACTTGAACAGTTGCAAGCTTTAACATTGAGTTAAACATATTGATCATGCCATTGCTAATTAATACTTGCATCTCCTAAAGTAGTGACGTGAGGTCTGTATCTTTTACTCGAACGCATTTAGTGGGCACTAGCTGTGTTTTTTTCTTCATGTTATTATGTATTTATTAAGCAGTTATGCGAAACCTTGTTTATTTTATGTTAATTTAAGATAAAAACTCATAAATTAAAGAAAAAACAACAACAACATGTCATTTATCTGGAATTCACACGTAGAATATCATTGTGCATACGTAAAATGTATTGTGAATGTTTTGGCAACACGCGGCTGGTGAATAATTGTCTGGTGAAAAGACGTTCACGTTACGTTACGACACAAGCCATCCTACTTGTAATTATGAAAGAACCTTGGACTGGTTGTGTGGTAAGGCCCAATAACGTTCGCACGAGTCTACCACTCTCACTACTTCCGCCCACAGGCGATTTCTAAGCGCGCGCGTTTGTCGTCTTGTGCTAATTCCGTTTATCAAACTGCGTCTCCGCCTTTAGAGGTTGTCCGTCGACATTCGTTTTGGATTGTCCGTTTGATGTGAGGTCGTTCGCATCGCCGGACCTTACTAGGAGTCGAGCTTCGCGGCTCCTTCTATTGTGCGATCATAATCATTGGCAACTTTTGACGGAACCTCTTGTTTTATCGAACGTTACAACTCAAAACTAATAACGTTTTCTATTTTGCACGTGCGTCTGATCAGATAGATCATATGCATAGAAATAAAGTCCTATTCTTAAACATAGCATAAATCAACAAAAAACAACTATTAAACAAATACTTACATGAAATCATTCTTGAATATTTAGCAATTCATCGCAAAAAGATGTTTTTATGTAAAGATCTAGAACAATTCATATTTATCTGATTACACATCATCTTCCACTTACATGATCTAGCTATCGGTATTGATGTCCTTTTGTGAATTAATAGAATGCAACAGGTGTTATTATTGTCAATCGTTGTACATGTAGCGCCCAGAGCTTCATAATAATTCTTGATGAACAGGTTATATACATAAATAGTATTGCTAAAGGAAAACGTTTTTATACAACTGGAATCACTTCTTAATAATCAGCTCACTGACGTCTTTTAGAGTTGGTAAAAGCGAAACACCCAAGCGCTGATTAAAGTCATTTTTAGATTGAATCTGTAATTTACTTTGCGATAAGAATAGATTAAACTGTAGATTTACTTTGCAATAGTAAAACGCATTTTTATCTTTAAAAGATTTCCAATAAATTGAACAATCTGGCTGAACTCGTTCATATATACGAAGGCTTATTACATCAGTAATTCACACTCCGTGGCTGCGAAAAGCAATTAAAGATACATCTAGATACAATGCAAATTACTCAAATCAGTCATGTTTCATTATACACTCGGCGTCAAAAAAATCGCTCAGACCTGGCCAACTACCGGCCAATAGCAGTCACCTCAGTATTATGTAAAGTCTTAGAAAAGGTCCTTAACAACTATCTGATCTGCTAGACAGAGGATCACTCTCTGATTAATGATCGTCAGTATGGTTTTAGACCGAAACGATCGACGGGTGATCTTCTAGCTTACTTGACTTAAATCTGGGGTGAGTCTATCGACAAGCATGGCGAGTCATTGGCTATCAGCCTTCACATTGCCAAGGCTTTCGACAGGGTCTGGCACAAAAGCCGTCTCTCCAAGCTTCCGGCATACGGTCTGCCGGCCCAGTTCTGTTCCTGGGTAGCTGACTTCCTGCATGAGCGTAGAATTCGTGTCCTAACGGATGGTAGCAGTTCGCGGTGCATGTCAGTAAATGCCAGCGTTCCTCAGTGCTCCGTCCTATCCCCCACTATCATTCTCCTGTATATCAATGACTTATTTCCTCTTGGGAATATTCATTGCTATGCAGATACGGTATAGTACGGTTCATGCGGGTTATCTCGGACAAGCAGCGGCTTGACAGGTGAAACGGGAGAATCTTGTCATTGATCCGAATCAATCTTTGGACACCCTTTCTGAATCACCATGCTCGGTATGGAAATTCGCTGTGACTTAAATCCAAAGAATTACATCGAAAGCGTGATAAAAACGGCCTCACGCAAACTCGGGAGTCCTGAACAAGGTGAGGCATTTTCTCACGCCCGAGCAACTGTGCTTGTTGTATAAGACGCAGGTGCGGTCTTGCGTGGAATATTGCTTGCACCTCTGGGATGGTTCCGACAAGTACTTGCTCGATGCTTTGGATAGGTTACAGCAGCGTGCGATCCGCATCTTAGGCGATGAGGAGGTGACTCAACACCTCAAGCCTCTTCAATTACTCCGTGACGTGGTAAAACTAAGCGCGTTCTATCCTCTGTACCACGGCGATTGTTCTGAGGAGTTTCTTCCACCTTCCCCTTTCTTTCAGCGGACTACGCGCGCTGGCCTACGTTGTCACCGTTGACTAACTGTGGCCACAATTCCAACGCGTATAAAGAAATTTGGTAACTCATTTAGTTGTCACACTATCCGTGTATGGAATGCTCTGCCCGCTCACGTGTTCCCTCCTTCTTACTACCTGGGATCCTTTAAAAGAGGCGTGAAGAAGCAACATGCAGGCAGGCAGGGTGGGGATGGCTGGTGTGGCAGGTAGAACTGCTGTACCAGCTATGTTCACGTCATTTCTCGGACCTATCCATAAAAAGATAACCCCCAAATAGACGCATTTTACGCAACATTACACGTTTTCGTAAACCAGCTCCGAATATTATATTTTCTTTGCGATTTTTTGACGCCGAGTGTATATTTCTTTATTTTAGAAACATCTTATATCGCATCCCCATTTTTGGTCACTGGTTGCACATTGACATATCTCCAAGTCTCCGACACATGCCTCAAAGAATACGAGCTTTGGTACAAGCGCGTGAGCACGGGAGACAACTCTGCTGCACATTTTTTAAGTACAACTGCTGGGATGCCATCAGGTCCACTAGCTTTCCGGACGTCGAGTGATTGCGATTCGGCGCGAACTTCACTTGATTTTAATATCAGGCATCGTTGTGTCACAATGAGGTAATGATGGTGGTAGTGCATTGCAATCATCGATTCGGGAGTTAGCCGCAAAGAGTTATGCCAGTAAATCGGCTTTCTCCTGTGGCTTATGAGTTAGTGTTCCGTCTGGGAATCTCAGAGGTGGCAGTGAGGGCTGGCAGAAGCTCTTCTGCACGACTTTGGCCAAACGCCAATAGCTACGGGAGCCCGAAGGGTGCGTTATAAGTTCCTGACCAACACAGTGGGGTTGACAAACCAGACGGGTGTTAGGCACCCTACCACCAGAAGAGCAGATGGAAGCTCCGATATCCCTTAGTCGCCTCTTACGTCACGCACGAGAAGAGAAGGGGCGGTGAGTAGTATTCTTGCTCCGTCACCACACGGATAATTTCATACTCAGATGTACGTATGATAGGTTAGCTTGACCTTGGCGTGATTGAGAATGGAAGTTCCGTATGGCCTTTGTTTTTAAATTGATTTTAAAAATAAATAAACTAGCTGACCCGGCGAACTTCGTGTCGCTTAACAGTCGATGAATGTGATTAATTTGAGGAAAAAGGTTATAGTAAGTCAAACTTAAAAGGTGGACAAATGCTATCGCGGACTTATTTATATAACTTTTAAAGGGGAAAAATACCGTCATAGATGATTTTTGTGTAACTTTAACAGTTTACTCAGCGCACGCAACGGAAGCTCACAAATGGAATATTTTTTTCCCGTTTTCGCAAAATTTTTCTTAGTTGCTCTGGTCGTGACGCGATGTTAAATAGGCTATAGCTTTACTCGATAAATGCATTATCCAACAAAAAAGTGTTTTCCAATCGGTTCCAATCGGTTTCTGACTTTAGCGCGTTCAACCAAACAAACAAACAAATTCTTCCGCTTTATAATATTAAGTATAGATATCTTTTACGTTATCCTTGGTAGCCTTATTTGAAAGCGATTTTTTTAACTTTGAAACTACTGCGCAGTAGCTATATTTATCGAAAATAATTTAATGCGCCTAATTGTGTAGCTCTATCGCTTTCCGCCATCCCTGATTGCTTTAGAGAGTGGAAATGTCGCTCAAAAACGACATCTCATAAGCTAGCCATTCTAAGATTATAGCTATTCGTCACGCATATATTTTATCGCAGTAATAATGAGCGCATCCACAGGTAACCTGCTCGATTTAGTATGCGTTTCACACATCAATAGTAATAAGGTATGCCGCCATTGTGATTGGTTACGCTATTACGCAGATTGTTCGGTGTGTGTGCTGTGACGTCACACACGTTTGTTTGTTTGTTTTCAGGACAATTCGAGCAGCAACGGCACTTTCGTCAACAAGTGCTCGCTGCCCGAGCAGGAGCCACATGAGGTATTCTCTGACGACGTGGTGCAGTTTGGCATACCCGTTGTTGAAAATGCCGGAAATTCTGAAAAGGTTACTACAATTTGTTTTTTTTGTTATCATAATTTAAAAAAATCAGAAATTGTCTACAAGTGATCGTTTATGTTTTTAAAAGTAGAAAGAAACACAAGATACTTAAAAGAATAGTAAAAATATTTATTTAGGCAATTAAATTGTATTATCTGCTATTAACCCATCCCGGATTCAGTGGTATTTAATTTTAATATTATATAGATTGAATATAAAAAGTATTTCTTGATTATTATTTTATTTTATGATAGAAGCTATTATTTATTCATTGTGAAGTTAGCACCAAAGAATATGATATCATCAGAAATAATAATTAAATAACAAAGCGAAAACTATGTTATTTAAGAAATAACTGTTACATTTTAACCTTTCGCTGCGAAATGCTGGAACTTATACCATCAGAAATAATAATTAAGTAACAAAGCGAAAACTATTATATTTAAGAAATAACTGTTACATTTTAATCTTTGGCTGCGAAATACTGGAACTTCAACCCAAACTTCAAACATACATAGATAAGGTTTTACTTATTTATATCTGCGAAGTACCTAATAAAAAATATCGAATTTACACCCATATTTAAACACGCATTTACTTTCTTCGCGTTAATAAAGATATTCAACTTCAACCCAAATTTCAAACATATATAGATAAGTAAGATATTACCTATTTATATATGCGGAGTAATAAATCATATTGAAATAACATCCATATTTAAACACACATTTATTTTCTTCGTGTTAATTAAGATCAAAAAGTTAAAGGTAAAGAAGTTTGAAGTTCGGGTGAAACTTCAACCCAAACTTCAAACATGCATAGATTGATGAGGTTTTCACACATTTATTTTCTTAGTATAGCATACTAAACCGCGAATGTTTTTATATGTTTCAGAATACGTTTCCACCAGTGGTCGCCCTCTTGAAACTGTTCCATCCGGACGGCACTGAAGCCACATCCACCTTTAACCCCACGATGTCCACACCGCTACACCTCGAACAGCTGTATCAGCTCAATAACTATGTACAGGTAATCTTGTTAATATTATTATCTTCTTCATAGTATTAGGTATCATCTGGGAATTCCGTTTCTTAGTTTAATGCAAACCGTTAAATATTTAGCTACTTAAATAAGTAAACTGACCTTAGATGTGCTAATTTATGATATCGGGAGTTCAAATTGCTATTCATTTTTGTAAACGTGACGAAAGTTTCTTCTTTTGACTCCATATAGAGTATGATAACATCCTGCTGTCAAAATGACAAATAACAAATACGAATAGCCATGTAAAGCGCCGGCATGAGAGCAATGCGAAAGTTTGTTACTTGGCAAGCTCGCAAGATGGCGGGACCCAGCCAGGTTTTTCGAATATAATGTGATTAGCACTTAATGCAGAATAACTGCTATTTTATACTTTCATGGAAATATTCTACACTCATAAAATTTCTAAATGTTCTGCTAAGAAAGTCGTCCCACTATTTTGATATCAAAATGACGGAAGCACTAGCCACTTACTGAACAAACATGGTGTGATCTTACACTACTTACACCTAATTTTAATACGATTTAATACGACTACCTTTAATTAATTATTATACTTCAGAAACTGTAATTTCAATGAAAAAAAAAATAATAATGTTAAAATTTGAAATGCGCCTGAAGAAAAATTATCATTTTAAGGCAAGTATAATTTAGGCGTTTAGGTGGTTGCAATTTTTTTTTTCAATGAAATTCATTTTTTTTTAAATTTTTCAATGAACACTCAAAAGTGTAACAATGAATCAAACATGGTCGCACTAAATCGTATTTCAATTAGGTGTACTCAGTTTAAGATCACGCCATGTGTTTTTCATTAATTGACTAGTGGTCTCGTCATTTTGATCTAAATAGCGGGACACTTTCTTAGTTGAATATTTAGAAATGTTATGAGTATAGAATTATTCTATGAAAGTATAAAATTGCAGGAGTTCTGCATTACACCCTTATCACATTAGATCCGAAAAACCTGGCGCGGTCCCGTTATTTTGGAGTTCATCAAATATCGACAAGTCTCGTAAACGAGGAATCCAAAAGAGATCCGAAACTAAATTTAAAACAAATTTTAACTAAAAAATTATCTTGATAAATTTTAATACATATAGGACGTGATTTTTGATGGTTCTCTTAACCCAAAACTACATTTGACAACCGCCCCAATTTGAGCGCCCAAGTACGAACTTTGACAGATCGTAATCGTATCGTATCGATCTCTCATCGTCAAATTTTGTATGGAAAGAGCCAGTTTGTTCTTACTTCCAGTAGGGCCAGGTTTAGTTTTTATAGCAACATTGACGATGCGATACGATGACGGAGCTATCAAAGTTTGTGCTTGGGCTTCGGCCCCTTATCTTATATATAATGGAGAGACTGCTGTCAAATTTAGTTGTATGTTTGCTATTATCTATAATGCCTATACCTATGCTATAATCGGGCTTTTTGTTATTCTGTTTGTCTGTAAATTAAACTGCTTTTGTTTCCAGGAAGCGATACAACGGGAAGCATATCTCGAGAACAGGTTGCGCACGTTGCGTGAGTGCGTGGAACGGACGCGTACGGAAGCGCAGGCGTCGTGGGAACTGTTCGTCGGCGAGCAGCGACTTCTTATGCGCGTGCACACGCTCGAGGCGATGCTGTCCGTGGGCAAACAGCCGGACGCGCAGCACGTGGCGCAGCTGCTCAACGACAAGAGGAACTATCAGGTAGCAATTTTACGCACAAAAACGTCTAGTGCGCTGTGACTGTAGTCTCAAGAAGTTTCAGATACACCACGAGCGCTCAAAATGTGTCCCAATCACGAAGTGCTTGAACTCCACTCAATCACTTCTTGGATCACAGTCACGCGCGGACCGTTACAAAGTCAAAATGCCACAGAGCTCCTTGAAAAAATGCGAGAAAAATAATTAAAGTACGAAAAGTGTCTAGGTATCTAATTAATGTTTGTTCATTTAACGCATTTGAAGCATTTTTTTTTCTAATACTTACTATAAACTGCTTTAATATAAAATATTTGTGATATTCAAATGCTTGGTCGGTTATACGTCGCCGTATAGCCGTCTCTGTTCCTCGCGGTCTGTACCTGCTATATTGCTAACAGCGCATTCAGAATTGCTCGTCGAATAATAAAATAAAGAATAAGGTCTATATTCTTCGGCATATAGCAATAAGTCGTATAATTTTACGATCTTGCATTTCGAACTGTCAGGAGACTGTTAAGATCTTATGCAGTGTGCATTAAAGGTGACTTTCAATGTTTTTAAATAATGTCTTATATGGTTTTTGACCACGCGATCAGCTTGTAGAGCTCCGTCGATCATACAATGTACCTTTTGGACATGTTTCGGCCACGATTTTGTTCGGTTTGGTGTATCTAGGGTATTATATCTATCTAACGATATCTAATATCGTTTCTAATAACCTTATACCGTCCACGCCACCACTGGCGAGTGTCCCGCGCGTGGGAACTGTTACACAACCGATCATGTGTATATATTCTTTCTTCCGCTCCAAGCTCCAATATAAGGCAATTAAAATGAAAACAATTTAAGAACTACAATAAATAATATGAAGTAGTGTTTTTTCCGCGTATATAATTTGTTTTAAAAAGCTTTTGACGCAGTTATGTTTTTTCGATATGTCGTCGTTTTGTTACAATATTGAGATCTCTAATAAGGCTACGTACCCTTACACATACCTATATTGTACTATAGAATAGTTGTATTTTGTTTCCAGGCAGTGGCGCAGGAGAGCCTCCGCTCTGCGCACGAGCAACGCCTAGCGTTAGAAGAGTCGCTGGAGCGGCGCAGCAGGGAGGCAACCGCCCTGCAACAGCATAACTGCGCACTGCGACTGGCCGCCAACAACGCGCTCGCCGAGCTGCAGGTATGTACAGTAGAACGCCGATTATCCGAATTAATTGGGACCGGCGTCCATTCGGATAATCGGACAGACTAGTAACAAAGAAAAACGAACTGTCACACATAGAATAAACCTTATTAAGTTTATCAAACACAGTACTACAATACTAAATACAATAATACAGGTACATAGTAGCAAAAGAAAAACCGCGCGACACAAAACATGTAGTGTCTTGCCTCGAGCTTACAACCATAATAGTTGAAATATATCTGGATTCCAGCGAGTTCCAACTTGTTACAACAAAACATAACAAAAATAACTTGGTTTTAATTTTTTATTTTATGCTTAGGACCGATTCGGATAATTGGCGATTCGGTTAATCAGCGTTCGGATAATCGGCGTTCTACTGTATGTGTATTCAAACTTTATGGCGGTTGTGAAGATAGTAGCGAGCGCAGCCATACGCAGAATTCTCTGATATCCAACACGCTAGTTTCAGTTCATCGTGACATCCCGTGCGGGCCTACAATCACCATACATTTCTTTTCTGCACCGCTACTTGCACTAAGATCATAGCTGCCATTAAGTTTGAATCTTTGAAATTATCTACCAAACACTAATTGTTTCTTTGGGGACAAAAATAAATGGTCCTGTTGCTTTTTCTTTTGTGATGTATCACTGCCGTTGTCCTGCAATCTGTAGAAGCGAGCATTATTTGATTGGTGGAAACGCAATTAATTAAATTAATTGCGTTACAGAGTGCAATGTTAATGTAACTTATTTCCAAGATCAGGTAAAAGATGTGAGATGTTACCATATGCGATTACTATAATGGCTTGATTACATTTGGTCGTTAACCCGTATTCGGGAGCACGAAAGCCATTACTGAAATTCGGGCACCCGAAGCAATATTACACTAGAATACGGGCTGGAAAACGGTGTCGGGTAACCAAAATGGAAACTACCTGAATACGGGCGTAATCGACTACGTTCATTTACATTTGGTCGTTTGCCCGAATACCATTGGCCTCGTATTCGGGTAAACAACCAAGTGCAATAGCGCCATTAGAATCCCTTGTTTATTTCTATGTAAAAGTCTTTTTTCGAGTATTAATATGGTGTTGGTCGTTTTTAATGTACAGAAGCTGGCAGCGCGATGCGAGCGAAAAATGTGCGCGGCTCGACTCGCCATCACCGCGGCGGAAGAACGAGAGCAAGCCGTCAAGAACCAACTGCCGCTTGCTGTGAGTACTGTTCTTTAGTATACATTATTATTATTATTTCAGATTTATGGGGCTATGCAGTCGTAATGGACTAATATAACTAGCGGTCATAAATAATGTTACATAAAAACATTTCTTTTTTTCAACTTTTTAATTATTTAGAATTTGGAACACGTATGTTATTAAAAAAACTTCTTTAGATTTTGCGCCACTTCTCATATTTTTTCGTGTTCATTATCAAATAACAATATGGCATGAGGTGTTTAAGGAAATAGGATTGCAGTGATCGCCTTGCACAAAGTGGGTATGGCGCCGTTCTAGACACTTTAAAAGCTTGGTATCACCCGTATGTTCGTATATCGTACTATCAATAGATACAACAACACTTCGTCTGTCGAAGACCAGAAAATATCGGCCTCGTGCTGTTAGAACTACAAAGGCTGTTAATGCTGTTAAAACCAGAATTCGTCGAAAACCCATTAGGAAGCAAAAAATCTTATAGCGAGAAATGAAGATTCCCGCTAGGACTCTGTCGCGTATTATAAAACATGACCTGGAGCTCGGTGCTTATCGTCGATATACAGAACATGCCCTAAATCAATCTACAATTAAAGAGAGTGGATCGATCAAAACGCCTTCTGTCGCGATACGTAGGTGAAAAGCACAGAAATATCCTCTTTACCGATGAAAAAAATTTCACGATTGAAGAACACTACAATAAGCAAAATGATAAGCGTACGCTCACATCCTAAAGAAGCTGCTCAAGTGGTCGGAAAGGTACAATGTGGTCATCCTGCGTCAGTGATGGTTTGGTGTCTTATCAAGGAGTCACAAAACTACATTTTTGTGTAAAAGGCGTGAAAACTTCAGCCAAAGTGTATCAATTAGACTTGCAACGAATAGTATATTCGGCAGTATACCGAATACCGAATATTCGGCGAGGCCCCTGACCGAATAGCCGAATATTAGGCAAAAGTATTCGGCAGGATTTTAGCGCCAAAAACTTGTACAGACGTGATTGTTTCGCGCTCATTTGTTTTCTTCTAATCTGCCGTCCTCAAGCTAAAATGCGACTAAATGACAAAACCAACTTTTGAGATATGGCCAAAAACGGCGCGTAAACTTTAAATTATTGCTATTAAGTAACCATCACATGACTGAATGAATTAAAAATATAACTTGTTTAATACAGAAAATGTTTAAATTATGACCCTGTTTTATGTACCTATGACTACTTAATAAATGATTATAAAAGAAATGAGAACCTTACCCGTCTAAATTTTGATTACCACAATAATTCAAATACATAGAATCCTCCATTTTTTCAATTCAGAAGATGATTATGTACTGTGTTATGTACCAATGACTACTTAAATGATTATATAACAGAAATGAAAATATTAATATATACGTAATCAATCGATTTTAATTTTTCATTTTACCAATTATTTCTCTATGACAAAATATATTATTTAAGTATTTGGTATTCGGCCGAATAATATGTAGATATTCGGTATTCGGCCGAATATAATAAAAGCAGCCGAATAGGCCGAATACCGAATATTCGTTGCAAGTCTAGTATCAATACAGTCTTGGATCATGTTGTGAAACCTCTCAGTAATACACTTTTTTTAAAATATACCGTGAACTTTACAACAGGGTTCTGCACCTGGTCACAAGGCACAAACTACCCAAGCCTGACTTGAAACCAACGTTCTGGACTTTATAATAGCTGAAGACTGGCCTTCATCTAGCCCAGACCTCAACCCTGTAGACTTCAAATTATGGTCAGTTTTAGAGGCCTGCTCTAAACGACACGGCGACATTGAGTCTCTTAAAAATTATTTGGAGAAAGCAATTTCCCTAGGAAACAGTGCGTAAATATATACATAGATTCGTGGCCAAACAGATTAAAGGCCTGTATAAAAGCCAAAAGTGGCCATTTCGAATAGTTTTTTTTTTATTTTATGCTGAGACTAATAATAATTATGTAGGTATACATTTTAATAATATTACATTACTTAATGGCTGGACTAGGTATATATGTATAGCTCGGTGGCTAGTCGGAATATATCTTTTAGGTTGCAGTGACTACAGTACCCTTACAACGAACCAATATCCAATTTGTTAAGTTTACGAATAGGAAATGTCAGTGTCAGATTTTGTATGAAATTTAAACAGCAGCGCCACAACGGACGCAACGAGACCTAAAAATCAGTACAAAATAGCGTATTTGACAAGTTTTAGAAAACGATCTCACTTGATTTACTCATGTTTATGGAGTCTATAAACGAGGATATTTTTAATACTGTTGTGTAATTCAGTAAAAAAATGATAAATTAAAAATCCAATTTTCAAGTTGCCGCAAAAACGTTTCTCTGGACATTATGGCGTCTCACTAGTGTGTGACGTCACACGACTGTCATTAAAACGTGAAACGATACAATTTAATGTCACTTTGGCCGGAAGTTTACTAGCGTGTGACGTCATTTTAGTCTTGACCATGTGACTATGAAGTAAAATATCATTTCTATTTAATGATTTTATAGAAAAGTTATTATTAGTTCTTTCAGAACAATAAAATCGCTGCTTATATTCATATATTAAATATAGATGCTATCAATGGTACATTATTTTTCATACTGTCAAATAGCCTATTGACGTATATCTAGATCGAATTCGATAATGATTCGTGCTAAGGGTACTGCAACCTAAAAGATCTTTTGTGACTTGCTACCAAGTTAAAGTATCTCTTTAAGCCCGACAGCTCCCAAGAAGCTCGGAAAGTACGGGAAAACAATTTTTCCACGCAGACAAAGTTGCAGGCACCCATTAGTATAACATAGTATTAAAATGAATCCCTATTTCCTTACGATCATGAGAACTCAACTTGAGAATCACTTTCCATCTTAAATATTTTATCTGCTATATTTTATGAACACTGCTTTTGGTTGACTTATTTATATCATCTGTGATCTGGTGATTTTCCGTTCGGTAATATGTGGCATTAAAAGCCTATGAGCTGTTTGCTCATAATCGTGAGATCACTTTATAAATGTTTATTAGAAAAATGACTGGACTGCCTGGACCGCCTGGAAGTTTTCTACTCAATTTTTCTTTACATTAAAATCTAGCAGTTAAATGCTTTAAATTTAAATAAATATAGAAATCACTTTAGTCGATGACAAACAAACAGATCATTACTCAAATAGTTAATTAGAAATTGCTGTTACACAGTAAACTATGTGGAAACTGTAATCCTTAAAGATTTATACTCAAGATTCTATATGAAAGCTTAACTTTTTTGTTGATAGTATTCAGTACAAAATGGAGAGGCGAAAATGTTGGTGTTGAGCACAGATAGCAACAAACTGCAGGAAGCGAAACGTGGCGGATCTCTTGAAGACGCTGTAAGGGCATTACCCGATTATATCAAGCTGCTGCTACCTCAACATTTGCTAAACAAGGTGAGTGTTTATGTTTATTATCACTAACATTATTTTATATCATCATCAAGTCGACCTCCGTGGCCGAGTGGTATGAACACCAGGTTATAAGGTGTCACCTAATCGAGAGACACCGAGTTCGAGTCCCGGTAGTGGCAGATGTTTGTCTGATGAATACGAGCATTTGTACTCTAGTCATGGATGTTTAATATGTATTTCTATATAAATATAATGATATATCAGTATATGTTTTCTATCCGTTACCCTAGTAATCCATAACCCAAGCCTTACAGTTAATTGCTGTGAGTGTTGGAAATATTTATTTATCATCATCAGCATTTTAATGTCCCCACTGATGGGCACGGGCCCAAAGCGGTTTGGTGGGTGCTAACGGCTGCAGACGCAGCTGGGACGAACGATTGAACGTGCCTTCCGAAGCACGGAGTGGCTTAAGATACAAAGTTTTTGGTCATCCATCCAATGACCGACCACTGCGAAAGTTGCTTAACTTCAACGATCGCAACCGCAGGCGCTTACCACTTGCGCCATCGAGCTCCACGAACTCATTTTATATGCGCTGACGTATACCTGCTCAGAATAAGTAAAATTGCCTTTTGGTCCTACGAGCTGGATCAATCTTCAAGCTGCGTTTACTTTTCATTCTGTTTATAATGTGATAAGGATAATATTTCTGCTAAGACAAGTTTTAGATTCAGAGACATGCTATAACTAACGGGTTGAATATAAATTTATATTTTGTAATAATATAGTGTTTCTTTTGCTTTTAGGTCGGCATTAAATTAATCACAGCTGAGGGCAAGTCGGCGAAAGAATTCGAGTTGATATTGAATAAGAACAATATATACAATAACGAAACCAGAGGTGAGTGACGCAATAGTCTTTTTTTAAACGTGCTCTGTCTTGCAATATCATTTTGATTCGTGGTTTTACCTGGAACGTAGTCTTTGATCACTGCTAATAAAAGCTTAGCTTCTAGGAATGTCACTTTTAGGCTATGCATTTGCCTGAGCCGAAGTTACTATTACTCTCTGGTCACATTATTAGGCCTAACTTACGCCAAATGTGGTGCTATTGAAGTGTACTTATATATAATAGGGTACATTCCAAATTTTTGAAAACTGCTTATATTTAAAGATTGAGACAAATGATTTAATAGGAAAATAAAAATAAATTAACTAACGTCTTTTTTCTCCATTAAACCAATTAAGTTGAATTTATTTTTAATAGTTTTGAATTTACCGCGAAAACGCTCGCTCAAAACTGTGTGACGTCAACCCCCAAACTTTGTCAATTTTATGTTTGTAATTTTTTGGTTGGCTGACAAAGGAAAAAATAACTGCCCATTATTTTTTGATAGTTTCTAACTAACTCACGGACTAAATAGAATTTCGTTTACTGTTTCCGTTGTCCCCGTTATCACCTATTGGCGGCTGCTAACGGTTTACCCCGTCATCATCCCTATTGGTAGGTGCTAACAGTTTGCCCCGTCATCATCCCTATTGGTGGCTGCTAACGGTTTACCCCGTCATCATTCTTATTGGTAGGTGCTAACGGTTTACCCCGTCATCATCCCTATTGGTGGCTGCTAACGGTTTACCCCGCCATCATTCTTATTAGTAGGTGCTAACGGTTTACCCCGTCATCATCCCTGTTGGTAGGTGCTAACGGTTTACCCCGTCATCATCTCTATTGGTGGTTGCTAACGGTTTACCCCGTCGGCATCCCTATGGTGGGTGCTAATGGTTTATCCTGTCATCATCCCTATGGTGGGTTCTAACGACTACAAATAAAAGCGCTACCAATGGCTTGACGTGCCTTCAATACAGTTTTACTCATTCATAAGACCTAAGACCTTTTATTGCGAAACTGCCACAATTGTAAACTAAACATGCAACCTATTGCGCCACCGAGCTCCTACAATGTTTGTAATATTATATGAGTACTATTTGTATGTTTGTTTGTTGAACAGAAAAACAACAGGCGGAAGAGGGCGACGTTGGTGTCGGGGGCAGTGGCGAGGAGAAATCAGGTGAACCCGATTCTTGTACGGACGATGAGAAACAGTCGCGCTTAAATAATGGTATGTTCTTAATTTAGGTTACTTTTGTTTTCCTCTCGTAAAAAAGTATGCTATCCAGCTCGAAGGGCCATTTATTGAGTTTGAATTAATGTAATGCCGCCACTTCACTTGGCTATTAGTACTTGCTGTTTGTAAACTACAACAGTCTGTCTTTATCATGCTTTAAGGAATGAAAAGGTCAGACTCGTGTCAAGTTTACAAATAGCAAACACAAATAGCCAAATGAAGTAACAGTTTAATAATAACTTATTTGTTGTATGTTAATATAAAGCGTCCAGCGCTTTTTTTGCCCTACACAATCAATAAAAACATATCAACATTCAACAAAACCGGCTACACAAAACTTTCGTTTCACTACCATATTTGTTTGCATCAACAAAGTTTTTGCTCTCCTAGCCTGATGGAAAACACTTACACAAATCATCTCCGCATGGGTCGAGGGGCAGGGTATTGTTTCTTCGGCCATTTTATGACAACTCGCCAGCGGGGGCCGCGCTCCAAACCTACGCTCCGATTGCAATTTTTGACTCTGGCTTTTCAATTTTGATAAAAAATAAACAAATATTTCCCTCACACCAATTAGCCTAGCCCCAAAGTAAGCACTATAAGGCTTGTGTTATGGGATACTAGGTCAACGGATAGAATACATATATACTGTACACATATATTTTTATAGAAATACATATTAAACATCCATGACTGTAGTACTCGTATTGATCGATTGCTCGTATTGATTATACAAATATCTGCCCCCACCGGGATTTGAAACCGGCACCTCTCGAGTCGGCGACACCATGAAACCCGCGTACAAACCACTCGGCCACGGAGGTCCTCTTAAAATGCATGAAACTTTAGTAAAATTTGACATTTGTTGCACCTGGATCGTTGATTTGGAACGCATCCCTGTGTATTTTGTGTACGACAACCACGTGAGCAGTAGACAGTGTGTGTAGAGAAACATGCTTCAGAAACAAAGTTTTGTGTATATGTTTTTGTTGAATGTTTACAAAACTTTTGACTTTTGTTAGAGACCCGAATTAAACCTAGTCTGTTTACCTAAAGCGATAAAATATATATGCACCTGGTGCGATGTTTTACGCGTCGTACTGATTGGTACTATTAAGGTGAAGTAAGGTTGTATATCGGATAGCAAACAGACATCTTAAGAGTTAATATTTTTACCGAATACTTTCCTATATCAACGTAATATATTGAGTTGCTCAGTTTACGTGCCGACTTTAAGTACTCGATGAGCGAACCGATATTTCCAATCCAATTTGGTGCATATCAATCGACTTTCTGTTTCTCTTGCTTACCATTTGGTAACCCATTTGGGTCCGAAATTTAATCACTACGACGCATATATTAAACACAATCATTCGCAAAGCTCTCTCTACGTTAATTCTACTGGATTAACGTAGACAGAACTTTCAAAGAAACTTAGAGAGTCATATATAGATACATTATTTGACGACCTCCTTGGCCGAGTGGTTTGTACGTCGGGTTTTATGGTGTCGCCGACTCGAGAGGTCCCGGGTTCGAATCTCGGTGGGGGCAGATATTTGTGTGATGAATACAAGCATTTGTACTTCAGTCATGGATGTTTAATATGTATTTCTATATAAATATAGTTATATATGTACAATATAAGTATTCTATCCGTTACCCTAGTATCCCATAACACAAGCCTTACAGTGCTTACTTTGGGGCTAGGCTAATAGGTGTGAGTGTTGGAAATATTTATTATTATTATTATTGTCATTTACGATATTGCAGATGGAGGACACCCAGAGAACCCCAGTCCGCTGGACGGAGAGCTACGGCCTGACAATAATGCCAACTCTACATACAACGAATCCGCTGCCGAAGATTCGCCGGTAACTACACAACAACTCTCTTTGCCAGTTCTCAACGTCGACCAGTATTATTGGCTTAATTATATTATGTCATGGTCAAAAATTACTTTGGATGTTGATGATTTTTTTATCATCAACCCCATCGAGTGGGATATCGTTGAATAGGTCCTTTAAAATTACTCAGGGGTTCCTAACATTATCTTTCGATTTAGGGATTTGTTTGCAAAATATTGTATTTTAAAGTGCTAAGTTTTGTCCGAGTAGGGCGTACACCCCCTTGCATTGCAACAAAATCTAAAAAATAGCTATTTAAAATGCACAATAAAATATCATTAGTTCCACAACGCTACCGCGAATACCTGCAACGGCTTCTGAGTCGCGTTAACGTTACGTTTTTATAGGAAGTATATAAACACTTGAAAAGATCGGCGGTTATACCGCATAATTCCCTTCTCAGGGGATGATTGATTTTGAGTTCGAGATGCAGTTTAACTTTGCTTTTGGTGTATTGAGATGCACAGATTGATATTAATTGGTTTTATCTAATTTCCGATTTAGAAAATAAAAGACTCCTGCTCAACTATATTGTGGTAACTACAGACAACTACGGAAGCCTACACTGCGCGTGGCACGACACGCACTTGGCCGGTTTTTAACTCAAATACACAATAGAATGATTTATACTACTTTATAGACTTCATAAACATAAGTAAATACCGTGAGATCGGTTCTTAAATAGAACACCTTTGAATAGTTTGTTTATGAAACATGAGCTTTTGTCCCCGTTTTCTTATTTTATGCTTACGCTTTATATTTATTTTTTTATTGTAACGTATCGTTAGAGCAAAGCGGGCGTGGAGTACGCAAACGTCCTCCGCGTAATGGCTGGCTTAAACGAAGAGATCAGGGCATTACGCGAGCGCGTGGCAGCCCGCGGTGCCGAGTGCGAACAACTGCGGACCGCGCGCGACGAGCTGCTGGCCGCGCAGGAGGCGCCGCCCGCGCCCGCAGCGTTGCCCGCGCCCGCGCCCCTCCCCGCCCTCCCCGCCCTCACCGCCGGGGAGCCAGACGACGCCGAGCAGCGCGCGCGCATCGCCGACCTGCAGGTGTGTACTGTGCATTATAGCGGCTGCACACGATCAGTTAGCTCGATGGCGCAAGTGGTTAGCGCGTTCGGCTGCGATCGTTGAAGTTAAGCAACTTGCGCAGTGGTCGGTCATTGAGACAACACCGTTTTATTCTCAAGATGTCATGGGTCTAGATGTCCCTAGAGTCAATTTCTTTAATTTTTTCTAATAACATCTGTCCCGGTCATGGTACTCCTTACATAAGCAAGGTACTTTTTTTTATATAATTTTATAAACTCGCTGTACTACTGTCTTTCCGCCATTTTTGATACTAAAGTGCGTACGCCTACGCGTGCAGGACAAATATGTGCAGACCAGTTCCCTTGTCGCGATTGCAACACGACTGACGAATCACCGCCAACACACGCACAGTTTAACCAGATCAGTTTCGTCAGTTCAGTTGAAAAATATGTGGCCACAATATATCATTAGTTTTAACTGACAGTAAACAAACTGACAGTTTTCATCGTACACATATCAGTTGTGACTATAACTTAAAACTGTTCAATTTAAACTGAAAGTTATAATTGATCGTGTGTAGATCTATTAGATAGATAGGTCGCTGAAAAACATCTGAGACGCCTATTACCGCACGCGCTGTCGTGCACTCTGCAACTGTTAATACTGTGCACCTCACACAATGTTTTATGTCCCGTGGAAAGCTAACAACTGCCAGAACACAACAAAAATGGTGTTAATTAATAAATATCTGTCTATCTTCTATTCTGTCAACCTTGTTATTTATTAACTTTTTTGGAAGACTAGCAGTTTTTAAAAAGAATAGTAAAAACTTAAATAGTAAAAAAAGACAATTACAGGTCTTTACCAATAAAAACACATTACAACATAATTGAGCACACTTTTAACATAATAATTACAAATAATGCACTGCTCAATACCCGCCTCAGTCATGGAACGCTAGTGTAAAACAAATCAATACTAGTTTGCTCACATATAACATTAAAACATTTGTAATAATAGATTGTGTATTATTGGTGCGTTCAGGCGCAAGTGAGCCGCGCTACGGCGGCGGAGCAGGCGCAGTTGAGCGAGGTCGCGCGGTTGGCGGCGAGCGTGGCGCAGCTACAGGCGGAGCTGGCGCTGCGGCCCACGCGCGACGAGCTCGACCAACTGGCCACCACCGCTGACCGCCTGCGACTGCAGTTGCGGGACAAGGTATGTGCGCGCCGACACCGGCCCATGGGGCGGCTGGCGGCGAGAGTGGCGCAGCTTCAGGCGGAGCCGGCGCTGCGGCCCACGTGACCAGCTCGACCAACTGACCACCACCGCTGACCGCCTGCGACTGCAGTTGCGGGACAAGGTATGTGCGCGCCGACACCGGCTCATGGGGCGGCTGGCGGCGAGCGTGGCGCAGCTTCAGGCGGAGCCGGCTCTGCGGCCCACGCTCGACGAGTTCGACCAACTGGCCACCACCGCTGACCGCCTGCGGGACAAGGTATGTGCGCGCCGACATCGGCCCATGGGGCGGCTGGCGGCGAGCGTGGCGCAGCTTCAGGCGGAGCCGGCTCTGCGGCCCACGCGCGACGAGCTCGACCAACTGGCCACCACCGCTGACCGCCTGCGGGACAAGGTATGTGCGCGCCGACATCGGCCCATGGGGCGGCTGGCGGCGAGCGTGGCGCAGCTTCAGGCGGAGCCGGCTCTGCGGCCCACGCGCGACGAGCTCGACCAACTGGCCACCACCGCTGACCGCCTGCGGGACAAGGTATGTGCGCGCCGACATCGGCCCATGGGGCGGCTGGCGGCGAGCGTGGCGCAGCTTCAGGCGGAGCCGGCTCTGCGGCCCACGCGCGACGAGCTCGACCAACTGGCCACCACCGCTGACCGCCTGCGGGACAAGGTATGTGCGCGCCGACACCGGCTCATGGGGCGGCTGGCGGCGAGCGTGGCGCAGCTTCAGGCGGAGCCGGCTCTGCGGCTCACGCGCGACGAGCTCGACCAACTGGCCACCACCGCTGACCGCCTGCGGCTGCAGCTGCGGGACAAGGTATGTGCGCGCCGACACCGGCCCATGGGGCGGCTGGCGGCGAGCGTGGTGCAGCTGACAACAGTGTATCCTTGTCATTCTCCACAGAATGAAAAGGAGAGACTGATGTTATATTTAGTTTTAAGTTCAGAGAATCATACCAGAATCGACACCACAGGTTAGCTAAATAGAAATAGATGCAGAAAATATTTAAGATTGTTTTAAGACATAAAACAACAAGGTTCAGTGGAACTCGAGGGTTTTGACGCCATTTTGCTTACACGGACCACGGCTTAAAAATGTGAAAGTGTGTTTGTCTGTTACCTCTTCACGCTTACTATAATCGATTTATATGATCTTTGGTATATTTGGGATTAAGGCCCGGGAAAACTACCGATGTTCTTTACATGGGTAGTTTTTATTCCATAAATCAACTTTTAAGGGGGGTGAACAGGAAGGTGAAAGTTAAAACAATTTTTTTCACACAGACAAAGTCCCGGACGTTTGTCCGCGACTTTGTCTGTGTGGAAAAAATTAGAAATGTATAAACTCAACCGTTCTTTCATCAGGGAGTTTGATTTATCTGTGTTCCATACAAGTTTCCTAACACTTCCAAACCTTCACCCCTAGGAGCAGCAACTGGACCAACTATGCGCTACCAACAAGTCAACGGCGGACGTCGCCGTGCTCGCGTGCCCCGACGACCTCAACGACGACTCCATGGACCCCAAGAAGATATCCGCCGAAATCGACGAGATGTTCCAATTGGACTTCGACGAAGAAGACGAGGAAGAGACCGATTCGGTCGCCACCGAAAGCACCGAAGTCATGAAGGAAGAGCGCGCGCCCGTCGAATACGTGAAGATCGGTGAGGAGGAGAGGTTACAGGTGACTATGAGAAACGGTTCGTTGCACGCGTTGGAAGAAGAGTTAGTACGCGCTAAGGAACGATGGGCGGAAGTTGCCGAAGAACGCGCGAGACTCGCGGCTGAGCTGGCCGTCTTACAAAGTAAAGGTACGGTGCGAGTTAACGCGTCGCATATAATCGCCTTACTCGTTCCATTTATCGCCGCCTGCTTGTACTACGCTCTTCTACCGTACATTTCTTGATGCACGGCCACTTGGGACCCGCCCGGCTACACGTAGCCGCCGCCCCTAAAACCCCACCCTTATCGCTACGACGCGACCTCTTGCTCACTCCCCCTATTTCTATCTCTAGGTCAATATTCAAAAGTTTGCGGTTTGTTTTCACTACAAGTGTGGTAGATCATCGCACTATGTAACATACGTTTTTATGAAATGCGTTTTGTAATATACAACTAAGAGATCACGATAATTATAGACGACATGATAATTATGTGAAATGTATAAATATTGTATTTTTAGCGAAAGTATAATATCAAATGTAGAAAACAAACCGCGAAACTAAATATTCACCCCACTGTCACTCAGCGTGGACCAGTCGACGGAGTAGTCCTAACTAGCTCGCGTTGACGTCTCGCTCTAGTCAGTCGAGGATATGACAGTGGATACATTTCCTGTACAAATATAGCACTTAGTGCGAGGCAATAAATGTCAAAGCCGCATGCTTTCAGGCAGGGTAGACAAAAATAAAGACTAAAACCTTATTGAAACATTGCCTGGTGTTTTGAAAGGTGGCTTTTGCAATACCCGTATAAGCGCCGCGTTGACGAAATCGAATTGTATCCACTGACAAGTCTCTGACTGTATCTTCTCGCGACCGAAGGCTTGTTGTTTATAAATTAGGTGATAACGTTAGCAGTATAATATAATATGATAGTAAGGGCGGGAATACACAATTATGATAAAATGAAATGGTAGGTAGCTAGTTTTATTCAAAGGAGTGTGCGAACAAATAACACAAAAGAAATTGATCAGATTAATTTATTATGGAATGCATCCGAAATAAATGGAGGGCAGGATCATGACAGGTGGTCATACTATGCCACGGGAGGCGATGCTGCATTGTAGAGTACAAAATATAGGGTAGCCAGCATTATAAATTTGTCTTATATGTAATTAATATATTATATAGTCAATGTCTATTTATTTAATCTTTAATTACTTGTAAACAAAAATAGGTAGTGTTATTCTTATTATATAGAGGTACGAAGTACTGTTTGGCGACAATTAACCAGTTACTGCTTATGCGCGTAGTTGTTGCATATTATTATGTTCACACGAGCAAAATTCCTCGCTCATATTATATCAGGAAATCGAATATGCAATTAACTTTTTTGCTAGGTATGGTCTTGCCATTGGACGTATTCACGAAAAAGTAAATGACTCGTGCAAGTTTACGAGCAAAGACATGTGTATTCCCGCTTGAAAATTTTTGCGCCTTCGGCCCGCCTATCTAAATGTTTTCTGACGTCGCTGCGAGTAAACAGAGTAAAGAGTGGATCCCACTATTTCCATTACGGAGTCCCAGTCACGTAAATATTTGGATTGTTTATTCCTGCTATTTCCAATGCGATGGCGATTTATTTCCAAGATTGAATTAAAAAAACACCCTAGTAGGATAATTTAGTTATGTAATACTAGCATTGCGTTTCGAAATAAAGTGAAAAGGTAGATTAATTAATGATTTCTTTGTGACTAGGATAATGGGATATGACAGAAAAAAAGTTAGCTGCACATTCAAAAAGTTTATTCGTTTTTTATATGGAATGGAAATAGAGGGATGTATCGTGCGGGAGAAACTTTTTTGTCGACCGAGCTCTTGTCGAAAGTGCCATTTACTAAAGCGGCGTCGCAGCCTCGCGGGCGGTCGGTGTACGTTGTTATCGCATGTATATAATCTCTAGTATTGTTTCTGTAAAAAGTGTCAGTATCGTATTTGATAGATATAAATTGATTGTTGATATCTGCCATAATAAATGTAAATTTTATAATATTATTAAGGCCTAACGACTGTCCTAAGTTATAAAATTATTGTTGTACGAGGTCTATCGCAATTTGTCAGCCGAACGTTGTTTAGCTGTGTTCACACGCGTATACGCTGCACGTATTTTTACAGTATTCGGGTTAAAACGTATCAGCAGTGGCATGTTCAACATATAGGGACATTTTTACTATTTGAAACAAATTCTTCTACAAATTTGTGAAAGATGCTCGTTTGTTTGTTTTTCATTTAAAAACGAGTGGCATCTATTGTCAAAGAGAATGTCATACTATGCGCTTTTGCAACCAAATACATTTATAGTTCATAAGGATTGCTTGATAAGTCCCCATGAATATTCGTTGAATGGTTTAGCTTTAGATTAATGCCTATTGTGAACGTGTGAACAGTTCTTTATATATTGATCAGTATATATTGCGCCACTACTTATTGGATAAGACGTATACTGCAAAAACGTGCATAATATTTTCGTGTGAACCCACTCCTAGAAGTCGTTTCGTTCCGTCGCGCGGGGGCGGAGCGCGACAGACCGCATTGTTTTGCTTTCGGTTATTGGGAGCTACATATCATGGGTAGGTTACGTGCATGGAGCATTTACTCGACTTGGCAGTTACTTTTCGAATCGTTTGCATTTTTCTAGTCTTTAGAATCGAGGTAGACTTGGTTGCATGACGTCTTGCGCTGCGTTCCTGCGTTAAATACATATTTTAGATCTTATTTATAAATGTCTTGATTTGACGACGGTCGGTTCGCGCGTGCGCATTTGTAGTGCTGCCGAAAATTGGCATAGATTTTGACGAATAGAGTTTATAGATTTTTTTCTTTGTTTATTATTTGCGGTATTCGAGATTAGTGTAGGCGTTTAGTGCATGCAAGTTTGCCGTTTATTTGCGTTTGTTTTTAGTGCCACTTACCCTCGAGAGTGGTCAGTATGCGGTGTGAGATATCAGTTGGCGTTCAGTTAGTGCACAAGACAGGTTACCCGACGCTCTGTGGTCTTCCGCAAGCTATTTTCCGTCGGTCGACCCTTGATCGCTTTGCTCTGTGATGTGAAGGCCAATAGATAATTTTTGTAACAAACTTGTATAACTAACGATTTATTGTAATATCTCTAGAATAACTTTACCACGTTGAAGTCCACTGTCTATAAATATTTATTATTTTATTGTTGCACAGATTTTGTTACATTCAATGTTATATTTTGTGTTTAAACCACCTTATTGTAAATATATTATATCTTAATTGTACTCGTTCGTATGTTTAGTTTCAACCGTGGAAGATTTTTGTTTTATTATATGGATTAAAATTAATAATGCATTCAATGTGGATGTACTGATAAATTTATTGGAAATAATATTGATTTGTTTAAAAATATGAATGGTTTTATTTGTTAACCTCGTTATCTTATTAATATCAGTGTCGTTATATGTAATCAATGTAATTTTTTTAATTGATATTTTTTTTAAGTCGAACTAAATCAGTACATAAATAATTAAAGATTTACAGAAATAGTTTCCCCTGATGCACTGAATTTTTTTATATAGCTTTCGTTCTCTCATAGTAGATGACACAAATTGGAGAAATGATAAACTGCAGAGTGTATAATCGTCATTATATTATGTATTATTTAAAAGACTATATTCTGATTATCTTAAAAATGTGACCATTATCAGTATGGCGTATGGTCAACGCCATCAACAATTGATCGAAGAGTATATATCTTGACAATTGTTATGGCACGGTAATATTATCTATACAGTATTGTGACTCCGCCCTGCCCTTGAAATAAATGCCTACGGCCGAGCGCTGCGTTAGCACGCGGTAGGGCCGCCCGCCTACAGTATTTTAATTTCATCTACATAATTGAGTTTCTTTCTAGTTTTGTAATTGTAAATATTTTATTTTATATAGAAAGCTTCTCCGAAGCCCATACACCCATATCGTAGGAATGCATTAAAAATAACTATTCCGCCATGTTGGATTTAGAATGTCGTCACACAGCTAACCGTGCTTTTTAATCAAAACGTGTATACAGGGCGTCCCACTGCTACCTCACACGGAGGGAAAGTATATTAAATATTGAAGTTAGGATATTTTACTGAAAGAAGACATCATTTTATTTTTAATAATAACTAGAACTGCATTCACAGATTTTTAAAAAATCTGCTACAACTGGGAGTCAAACTCGTGAAATTTAAAAAAAAATACAAAATATTTTATGATAACCATCGCAAGTGTTAATCATAAAGATTAATTTTTGCTCAATAACATAGCATTTTATTGAGCAAAAACTAGTTTTATTTAATGAGTGATGTGCGTGAAAACCTAAGAAACAAATACAATATTACTGTTATGAAAAATGACTAATACCCATTTAATATCAAATTACACTTCTGGACACATCTATTGGCCCACCTTAGAATTTAGGTTTCGATGGCCCCTACCGAAATATGATTGCTAGATTGAACAAAAACTGTTGATGCAGTTTTAAACCTGATACATTTTACCACCTTTTTCGATCGTATTGTTTTAAATTTGAATTCAGAATACCATACGATATAGACCTACGCCTAACAAGTCGGATACGCGCCTTGTTAAAGGCAATTGATTTTTGAATAAAAAACATGTTTTATCAAATAAAGGTTTAATTTAATAACGCGTGTTGCCTCCATGGGCATCTACCACAGCTCTCATACGATTAGGCATAGAGTTTATCAACCGCGCTATGAAATTTTGAGGGATCATCTCCCATTCCTCTTCTATGGCAGTTTTCAACTCCTGCATCGTCTGGGCAACTGGCTGACGAGCCCTAACACGTCTTTTTAGCTCGTCCCACATGTGCTCAATGGGGTTCATGTCTGGGCTTCTGGCTAGCCAGTCCATAACTGTGATGTTCACATCCCGAAGATATTCCCTGACGATGCCGGCCGCATGGGCTCTTGCATTATCATGCATAAAAAGGAAATTTGGGCCCACATAGTCCGCGTATGGTATCACGTGAGGTTCTAAACACTCACGAATGTACCTTTCAGCATTTAATGTTGGCAGCCGTGGTCCTGTAATAACCTCAAGTTGAGTTTTGCCGCTCGCGGATATACCGCCCCAGACAGTCCATGAGCCACCGTTATAAGCAACCCTCTCTTCAAAGCAGCATTGTGCGAAACGCTCTCCCTTACGTCGGTAGACCTTCTTCCTTCCATCATTGCCATGTAACACAATTTTAGACTCATCAGAAAAGAGTACACGGCTCCAATCTTGCTGTGTCCAATTTAAATGACTGCGTGCGAAATGAAGGCGCGCTGTTCGGTGGGCTCGCGTTAGTTTGGGCCCATTAGCTGGCTTGTGTGGTACCATACCGCGTTCTTTTAACCTTCTCCGAACAGTTCGAGCGCTCACAGATACTTCGTGGAAGTCGCGAATTTGTTTTTGTATCTCAATGGAAGTAAGGTGACGATTTCTCAAGCTGGTCGTCACGATGAATCGATCCTGCCTTTCAGTTGTGACCCGAGATCGTGGCCTTCCTTGGCGACGAACAAAGCCGTCAGTCTCTAGGTACCTCCGATAAACATTTCGGACCGCAGATCGACTTAAATTAAGTTGAGCACTCACGTTTCTTTGGCTGTGTCCGGCCTGAATAAGTGCCACAGCTTGGGCGGCGATTTCAGGTGAAGTATCCATAGATTATTGATAGAACCTCACCTTAATGTTAAGAATAAGTAATGTTTGTTGCAAAACCAAAGATATCAATCACTTTTTCAAGAATTAAATCCAAGTAAACCAATAAAACCAAGATTTCTTAGTATTCGATTGTTTGATATCAACAAACAGGCTCCAAATTGTCTTTTGTTTCTTTAAATTCTGTGTTCGAAATTCAAAAAAAAGACAATTGAATGAAATTGTGAATGTGCCAGGTTCAAAACTGCATAAAAACTTATTGCTCGAACTAATATAAAATTTTAGCTAGGACCAAACGAAACTGAAAATACAAGGAGGGCCAATAGATGTGTCCAGAAGTGTATAAGAAACACTATGTCCATGCATTACGATGATTTAGATAATCATCAACTTTATAATAGCCCTTATTCATAAGAGTATTTTTGATCTGAGATTTAAATTTAGTCAGTGGAAGCTCAATCAGATCTTGGGGAACTTTGTTAAACAATGCAATACTACAACCCAGAAATGAACCTCTTGATTTTTGTAGTCTGAAACAGGGAACGGCAAGCTTGTTCTTAAATCTCGTGTTAAAGTTATGGGTTTGACTTTTTTTTGCAAATTCATCATAGTTTTTTCTTACATAAGTATATTAAATTTTCATAAATGTATTGCGACGCCAGTGTTAAAATATTAATTTCTTTAAATTTTTCTCTAAGGGATTCTCTTGCCTTTAAATTGTATATGGCGCGAACGGCTCTCTTTTGCAGTATGAAAATACTTTCGATATTAGCGGCTGAGCCCCACAACAAAAGGCCAACTTTCTTTCCAACCGTTTGTATGAAGATAGAATACTGTATAGATATTATTACTGTGGTTATGGTTATAACTTATATCCACACAGTATACGTTATCTAGAGTCAGATGTTATAATTTGGAATCCATTACATTGCAATGTGGTTTGATTATTCGCATTACAAAATCTATTCGAATTTATTGATATTTCTGATTTTTAACCTTCTAAGGGCTCTTGTAAACGAGACGATTTCTACCCGGGTCTAGGGACGGTTTTAAACCGTGTCTACGTTCGGTCCGGTCATAAGTTAGATTGTTAACGACACCAGCACTAGCACCAGTTTTGGGGCCGGTACAAATGTACAAACCGTGCTCGTGAGCAAACTTAGCCAGCACCGTCCTGGGTAGAAATCGTCTCGTTAACATGCGCCCTAAGGGTTTGTGAAAATTATGCCAATGTTGCGTAAGGAAATCTTAATGACAGTCTAACGAGAGGCCCGGCGAAGATTTTATGCTCGGCGACTTTAAGCGCGGCCTAGAGTAGAGTCACGGAGCGGTGTAGTTGCGCGCCGGCTTTCGTGGCTGTTTCACAACGCTGTGCACCCCTTTGATCTTTTCAGGAGCTTTTGAATACCCAGGAAAATTTTAAAGTTATGATATACGAATTAGGGTTAATAACTTAAATTGTAAACTTGTCAGTATTTTCTCAGTATGCGCTGCGCCTAAGATGTTTCTTTGTTGTCCGATATTCAACCTTATGGCCTGAGGTTGCCTTATTCGATGCAGTTACAGGCGATCTATTGTGGCAAAGTAAAATGTCCGCGGACGAAAGTCTTTCGTCTGCGCAGGGCATTAAGTGTATCCCAAATAGAAGACCGTGACTGAAGCCTGCAGACATAAATTTTCACAATAGATTGTGAATCGTATGTCAAGAAATATAAAGCAGTCGTTTGAATAGATTTGTTGGTTTTGGGTAACTTGACCTGTGGCTGCCTGTAGTTAAGAACTCCCGGCGCGAATGTACTCCGCGCCCTTTGGCTGCAGAAACGCAACTCGCGTAGAATATGAAATTGTACGTTAGGGTGGGATTCCGATCTACGCTGCAGGCTGCGGATGCAGCTTGCACTTGCAGCGGCTGCGGATGCAGGCTGTACTTGCAGCGGTTGCAAGTAGGCTGGCTGCGGATGCACGACTGGTTTATATGTATTTGTATTAAATGCGTTCCGATCCCGGCTGCAGGCTGCAGATGGAATAGATAGATAAAAAATATTACCGACTAAAAAAATATTCCAAAAATATAACCGACTGCAAAATCGAAAATGGAACTAAAAAGATAAAAAATATTAACTGCTTCATGATTTGGAAGTCAGGCGGGGTCAAGATTTAACACATATTACCGTTGTGAAATGCAGATCGTTTTCATGTTATTTTTTTCGTTTATATATTCTTTATTCCATCCGTTTAAGTACACTATAAACAAAAATGCTCAAAAAATAAAAACTACGGGGCCAAACTAAATATTTTTTTATGGGACCAAAAAGTATATAGTATCAAACAATAAGAGAATTACTCAAACCGGATCAGAAATCTTCAAGTAATTCGTGTATAAAATACATTAGTAAGCAAAGTACCGTCCAACAACAACAACAACAACTAACAAAAATGCTTATAAAATAAAAATTACTGCGCCAAACTGGATCAATTTTATGTAGGACCAAATGGCAACTATTCCATATCGTAAAAGTATTTATTTGACATTGTGGGTTACCTACGAGTATAAAGCGAAGAGATGGCGCTGCCTTGCAGCTTAAGAATGGCTAGAAGAATTTCGACGCGGTCCGTGAAGGCCGCGGTAGCATAATTGGTCAATGCATTCGCCCGGATAGCGAAGGGTGCGGGTTCGAGTCCCGTCTGCTGCCTGGG